TAAACCTAAATCGTAAAGGTCTTATCCGTCCCTTGGGCCTTTCGATCTCGTTAATAATCTCGTCGGTTTTCATCGCTTGCAAAACAAGCTCAGGACTAAATTAATTTGTTGCGTGGGGGGCAGATCTGTCAGTTTACTCTGCCGCTTGAAGCGCGGGAATTTTTAATTGTATGTCTTGTAGGTATAATGTTTTAGGACCGTTAGGAACGACAAAGCTAGCATCGGATGCATCATCCCCTCTGGGCTTGGTGTAATCTGCGTTGCAGTAGGCAACTCAAAGACAACCGCCATCGCTCTGCGAGCTATTGGCACTTGCATTCAGCGACTGAAAGGCGGTCTCTACAGTACTGAGTCTGTCTTGAAGACAACCTGAATCATGTCTCTCACGTATTCTGCCGGCGGTCAGCAGTTGTCTAGACATTTGCACGCGCACAATTATTGTCTAAATTCCAGTTGGAGGAGAAGGAGGAGAAGGGCTTTTCTACCCCAATGCGAAGAGGCGGTCGGTTTGTGTCAGATAATAAGTGAGACAACCACACTGCTAGCAAGTAGAGCATTCATTTCATCTGTTTGCTTTTTGTCGCAGGTTACAGTGCCACTTTTCCCCATACCTTGGTGCACCACCTCTCAACTCTACCTACTCCAAAGTGGACTTGGGGGAAAGGACAGGCTACAGGCATCGTGAGACGTGACAAGACCTGGGGAGGCTAGTCCAATTCCCATTGGAGAAAGGACGGGTTACCTGACTAACGCTCACGATACGGTATCACGACATGACAAGGGGGATGGGCAAGGAGTTGCTCTTTTCTGTTCCAAGAATAATATTGCGACAGTAGATCTTAGTAATTGACAACGCTGCACTGCAAGTCTGGGGTTGAGGCTCAATTGCTTATGTCTTGTCTTTTTTCGCATACTGTAGATGCTTCCATCACATCGTGCTTGTTTGTGGTGAGACAATGAAAGAATGAGCGCGTGGTTTCTGTGACGACCTACGTCATTGACGACGACCATGTCACGACATTTCAAGACTGGGCATTTATTACTGGGCAGAAGTAAAAAAGCGTTTTGACCGTGCCCCCTTCTTGAATCCGATTGAACCACTGCTCTAAGCGAAGGCATTCATTCGTTCTTCTATGCATGTATCCAATCGCTAGACTCCAAATCTGCCGGTACAACAGTAGCCCTGCCCCATGCTTTGGGGAATTTGTCTGCGCCGTGTTTTAGACAAGGGGCTCTGCCTTGGATTTTTTGGAGGCTCAGAAACTGAACTGAACTCAAGACTGCGGCTGCAGCACTACAGTTGTAATATCCGTAGATCCCAGTCGGTGAGAGAATCCGTCTCATTATTGAGTTTGTGGGATTATGTGCCGAGTAAAGTAGTATTGTTCCTCCCGTCATCGAGATTCATTCTTGAGTTTGAGCATCTGCCGAGAACGATGGCATTCTATTGTCTGTCTTTCCGGGTGCACGTCTCCGGATCATACGGAGCGGGAGTTATGTTGCATACATACAGGAGTTAGTCAGGACAGGGTCACGATGTTCCTGTCGCGGACGAGGGAAGCTGAAGGCTGAAGAAGCTCCGGGCTGGGTACGATAGCTATTGAGACTAACCGTTAATCGTCTGGACCCAAAAAGCTGTGTGTCACTTTTGGGACCAAACTCCACAGGCGTCTGAGAGCCGCTACATGGATGTCATTCTTGCTTTGCAACGCAATGCCTATCCATCGAACAAGCTTCCTACTGACCGTGCTCTCCATCTAATTACGGAGTACGACTAGTTATTTCGTCATCGTAAACCCCCATTCAATAGAAACAACAGCACAGAGGTAGAGAGAGGCACAGACAGATGTGTAAAAGCTGAGATCAGCCTCACGAGAAATGCACACTCTTGACCGAGAGCTGCTTAAAGAATGCTACGAGTACCTTGGCGTGCGCCACGAGCTATTGTGATTCGATGATCTGACATCAACCTTGGAAGCGAAAGAAAAAAACCAACGGGCCTAAGACCAAAAAGGGTGTGGGCCGAACAGAACAGAGAAACACACACAAACTAAACTCGCACCTCATTGTTGGTGCTGAGACGTTCTGTCTGTCGCTGTGGCTTCACTGTCTCTGTTGTTGATGTTTGTGAATACACTCACCATGACGACTAAAGCAGCAATGTCTCTTCTCTTATGTTTCTCATGGTTTTGTATGTTATGTATGTAGATTCTGTCGTCCCCCTCGGTTGCTTGCACTCTTTCTCTTGACTTTCTGTTTCTTCTGTTTCTTCGTTTTCAGCCTACTACAGATTGATCGCAGAAGCAGCCTCACATTCATTCATTCATTTATTTCGTACAATCAAACCTTCTTTTGCCTTTCCTTTCCTTTCCTTTCCTTTCCTATTTTATTTCTCTTTCTCTACGTTGTTTTGACGACAGACGTTTTTGTCTATTCTATTCAGCGGTACTACGAAAGTGTAATCATTACTGCGTATTGTGCCTATCAACAAGCATCTCGCTAAAAAAGCCAGTGCTAAACTTTCCGGCGGCGCATCCTCAAACCAAACCAAACCAAACAAGGAGCTCAATTCAGCCCCTGCCCCATGTTCACCAAGTCCATGCTCTCGTAGCATTTTGGGGGAGATCTCCGCTTACAAGCCAGTCCTCTCGTCTACTCTTTTTTTATCTGTCGATTCTCTGATACTGGGTCTTTGATACGATACGATAACCCATTGCTCAGATCATATCCACTCTTTTTTCAACACCCTCACTCAGATCAGTCAAAAACCTCATATCATTTTGACCTCGAACTAATTCATTCGGTATCATATGCTTCAAGGCCAAGACCAAAGCACGAAATATCCCACGCTTTCAAAAAGTCGCCTCTTTCTATCTCTTTTCTGTTACTCGCCGCCATCTGACGCATACCGTACATGCTGTGTACTGGATCCGGTAACCATCAGCAGTTGGTAACATCATTCCTCTACAAACGTACATAAACAGATGGGGATTATCAATCTTATATTTTTAATTTTCTGCACCTGAGAAAGAAAAGCCTCTCGGAAACTCAAACTTCAACACCAGGAATCGGCAGACGCCAAACCCCGCCGCCATCAAAAAACGCCAATCTTTCTTCATCCACCACAGGTTTAGGTCTGCAAACACCAAGACCAACAACGCCTTCGTCTTTTTGGGGGTCTCCTCTTTTTGCCTCCGCCTCATTTTTGAAAGAGATCCAATTCACTCATATTGAAAAAGGATAGAAAAAGGCCTCTTGTCTGAAGTCTGGTCTCTCCACTACTCCATACTCTTCTACTACAACTCAATCCACATCTCCAGTCCTCCACCCCACGGAGAAGTAACAGTCAAATTGAGACCCGCCATAAAACCGATGCAACGAGGTTGAGAGAGTTTATCGATTGGTTTGATACTCTGCAGTAACAGTAACAGTTCATGTAGAGTCTGTCTGATACTCGTAAGTGCACAGCATCAACATGATGCCACCCTTTCTCACTTCTTACTCTTACTCTTACCCTACCTGTGTACTTTACGGTACCACCAATTCTCGTTAGCTCTATCCCTCCCATCCCATCCCCACCCCTGGTCCTGTCCTGGCCTGCAACTCAAATCCTGCCCCATCCTGCCCATCCCTGCCTTTTAGCACCTACCACCCATCCATCTTGTTAGTCCCCATCCATCTTTTCCCTCTACTACGACTCTACCATCAGACGGCCCATGCCTACGCGGCTCTCAACCTTGTCGTACTAGCCCATGCCGCTCAGGCCGGCCCCGGCGCTGCCTCTCACACCTCACTAAACCTCCATTGGCAAAGTACACCAAAGGGCCAAGGCAGTCGTAGCGACAAGGTCAGGTCAACCAATAACCCGTCAAGCACCTTGGTTTTTTTTTTATTGGGGACCTACAGATCCAGAGGCAACTGCAACTGGACAGAACACTCAAAACCACCTGGCTCCCCGCAGCCATCATATCTTATCCTCGATTCCTTTCCCAGCATCCACCAGCTCTGATTGCTGTTCAACGAGTTTATGACCTCAACTCAAAAAAAGGACTGATTTGACTTACTGACTTCAAGTGTCTCTATAGTATCATCGGCCATCATTTATTTGTTTATTTGTTTTATTTTTGTTGTCTTTTTGTTTGATGCCTCTGTCCTCATCATCATCTCGACGAAGCTCCTAATCCGACGACTACCGCCTCTTGTTCAACGTTATCATCGGAAATCAGCTGCAGTATCACTTCACTGTGATACACTATCACTCAACTCATCAACTCAACACAATTGCCGAACTGTTCCTCGTGGAATCATCCTTTGCTCAGTTGCTGGAATATTGCCAGAGCATTATTGTCCTTCTTCGAGTCGACAGATCTTTGTTTGTTTGGCTTTGGCGCATTGATCATGTAAGTAGTGGCACCGCACTAAAACACCCACTGAATTACACTGCACTGTACTCCCTGTAATCCTCAACACCACAGCGCCCGCACAGCCCTCTCGTTCCTCGCGACAAATGGAGCAAACGAAACACAGACAATTAAAAAAAAAACATCCTCTCTCTCCATTGCCCACTTCTCCTCATCCTATTCACTGCATACTTCAGTGATTGTCTATTTTTTTGGTTACCCCAAATTGTCCATTGTTTTCACCCCTTCTTGGCATCTTCTCTCTCGTCTAATTATGCATTGCCACAAAAGTTCCCTGTTTCTTGACCATGCTAATCCGTTCCTTCCCCGTTATTAGACCTGATCTCGATCAACTCCTGCCTTGATCTTCATCGAAAAGCGCTAGGAGCAAAATCTCCATCGCAACTCAAAGCAACACTTCTCTGTCTCCTCCAAAATCTCATCTCGCTCGAGACGAGAAGTTTCATCAACCTCATTTACCCTTAGTTGATTCTTCTTTTTACCTCAACGTGGTCAAGCATCTGGAAATCGTCTCCAGCTTCCACGGATAAACCTTTCCCTCCTCCCTTCCCTCTAATCTCACACCCAAAAACCTTGGGAATGCCTTACACGCCGCCCTCACATCGATCTCCCGCTTCGTCAGCCTCTGCTTCGCCCGTAGCGAGCCGGAGGTCGTCGCTACAATCGAGTCCGAGACCTAACCTACCGCGATCTGCTTCATATCTTACCAAGCATCGACGAACACCTTCGGCTTCTGCTCTTAGCGATGGATCAACAGGGACGCTGACACCGCAGGGAACATCGGAGGATCTCAAGAGCATGGGCACAGCAGTTCCTTCAAGCGTTCGCCAATCACCACCACCCGTGACAGACGAGCGCACAATGCCCATGGGTGCTATCATCTCGCCACCCGATTCTGCTTCCTCCGGTAGCGACGACGAGGAGCAAGAACCCCAGATTCGAGGTCGAAAGCTCGACAAGGCTCTACGAGACGCCGTTAGCCAGATCCCCATGCAGCGCTCATCATCTCCCCAACGAACACAAATCCAGCACAATGACAGCACAGAAACATTACAACTACGCCCTCGCAAGGATGGTGTGCATCTAAGCTTCAGCACAAGTGCTCTCGGTGATCTTGCCAAGGGTCGTAAGATGGGTCATGTTCGATCAGCGACCGAGCCCAACGCTGCCATTAACATGTCCGACAACTCGCAGTCGGTATCTGAAGAGGAGATTGACGAGGATCTGCTTAAGAAGCCTCAAATGGTGCGAAAGAAGTCTGGTGAGCTCGTCCGACCTGCTCTTCGTCCTTCCTCAAGACGCCGCCCCTCAAGTATGCCCGGTACTCCCATCTTCTCCAAGGCTGTTCACTTCGATTCACATCTCGAGCACGTCCGACACTTCCTGCAAGTGGACCGACCTCTCGCTGTGAGCGCTGGCTCTTCACCTATTGACAGCTACGAGAGTGACACCGAGTATCCCTTCCCTGGCAACGGCAAGCAGACTGCCCGCACTCCTCCTTTTGAGTGGGAGATTCTCACCACAAACTTCCCCCATGATTCGCCGGCCCGTAAGTCGTTGCCCGTTCGACTAGAGAAGGTTTGGCTATCGGCCGATCAAAAGACTCTTTTGGGCTCTGTGGCTGTTGCCAACATTGCCTTTTCCAAGGCCGTTACATGCCGTTTCACTCTCGACTACTGGAAGACCACCTCGGAGGTCGCCGCTGATTACAGCCACGAGATCCGCCCACGGGAAACTCCGTTGGGTCATGATCGCTTCACCTTTTCCATCAAGCTCGCTGATACAGCCAACCTCGAGTCCAAGACCCTCTTCTTCTGTGTCCGCTACACCGTCAACGGACAAGAATACTGGGACAACAACACCAACTCTAACTTCCAGGTCGACTTCCGCAAGAAGCATCTGCCCATGAATGGCAAGAACAATTTCCAGGGCGCTTCTTCTCGCCCGGCCAACGGACTCCCCCGGAGCAGCCGACGTACCGGCAGCGCCAATGTCCCTCGACCCAAGTCGATGCCTGTTGGCTTCAGTGAGTTCGGTGACGACGCAAAGCTCAACTTTGACCAGCCCATCCACGAGTTTCTCGGCGAGTCTGAGAACAGCACTGGTGGTCTTCGCCTCAAGTCCAAGTCGGCTGGTAACCTGGCCAGTGATAACATCTCTAAGGACTTTGGCTCTCCCAGTGGCCTCGCCTTTTCTAACCGATACGACTTTGGTGCTTCCTTGAGCGCTGCCGTCCAGGCTGCCAAAGAAAAGGAAGCCGCTCAGGATAAGGATGGTCTTTACATGAAGGCCAACGTCCGAAGTTCCAAGCCCAGCCTTATGGTTCCTGAGCCTACCAACAACGCTAAGAGCCAGGCCACCGCCCCCGGAGCTACTTCTCCCAACTCGACAATCTCCAGCTCATCATATGAGGAGCTGGTTAACAAGTACTGCTTTGTACGTGCCCCCGAAGTCCGCCCTGCTTCACCCATCGCTTCTGGCGCCCGTCGCCCTTCCCTTGTGCGCCAGAATCGTAGCATCATTCACCCCGCCCATCGGGATGGCACGGCAACCCAGAAGCAAGATCAAAGAATCGGTTACTAACAGTCTTGTTGCAGTTTGGATCAAAACAGTCGAGCCCTAACATGAACGATACTACCCTCAGCGCTACCCGCTACGACGGTGCTGCCGCTGGTAACCACCGCCGCAGCCATACGACATCGCTTGGAAGCCCCAACGGATATAGCCACCACGCCGGTCCTGCAGCTCACCATACCCTTCAGCTTGGTGGCGCCTTTAGCCCACCGTCGGGTCCTTCAACACCAAAGGATGGATTCCGTGCTAACAGCACGTCGCCCACCCCGAAGCCATCGGCTGCTGCCAGATCGGCCTCACCTGCCTTTGTATCTTTTGATGGTACACCTTCTAACGATCTGTCGTATCAAATCCAACAACAAATGATGGATCAATTTCCCTGGTCGCGCGATGGCCATGCTGCCACGGCGATTCGAGGATAGGGTCATGTCGCCGACCGTGGTATGGAGTTGGACTGTTCATAATCCACCAGCAACACGACATTAACAGCAACCCAGATTGCATTGCTATAATACACCTTTCACTATGGGCTTCAAGGCATCACCGCCGCCCGCTATATCACTACTCTACCTGGCTGTTTGACCCGAAACAGCAACAGCCTTTGATCGATTGATCAATGGTATGCTTGTACGGCTTACGGCCATAATTGTTTGGCGTTTACGGAATTGGACTTGTGCAAGCCTGGCATGGCATGCCGGGCATCCGCATTGGAGTTTGGGAGTCTTTTATCACCCGCGAGTCTTTGTTTTCCACTTTGCTCTTTGCGGATATCACCGCCTTTGTTACCTTGCTGTTTTAATCATCGGACCTCAACCTGTTTGTCATCTCCATCTTTGACTACTCTCCGTTGAACGGACAGAGACAGTCTTAATAAGGAATGAAGTATTTCAACAGAAGGACCTTGTTTTATGTGTGTTAGTTGAAAGAGCGAATGCCTGGTTTTACGCGTATCACGATGTCTCCCTCAAAGATGACCGACCTGATTGAATGCGAAAGACTGTATAATGGCGCAGGGGGGAATGGAATTTGGGAATATTGAAAAGTTTGCTTCCGCATGGATGGAATGCAAGGAATTTGTTGCTTGGAGTTGGTTCATAACAGATATACATTATACTATACACAAAGCTGCCAGAATGCGATGCAGGTACAGCTCAAGAGAATCATTTGCCTCTGCACAATTTGGTCCGTCTTATTTCCAGTGAAGATATATGTTTGTGTGATTGCTCGTTTGTGTCTTGGTGATTACAACTGTGAATAGGTTGGTGAGGTGATGAGATGACTGATGAGAATGAGTTTTGAGTTTGAGATAAGCTGATCAAGAGCCGCGATAAGACGGACATGGCCGGTCTCGCTAATCTCACCGGAGCGCCACCGTTGAAGATGATTGGACGAATCGTAAGAATGGGTTGTTTGGAACCTTCCATTACTGGGTGGTCTTATCAGTACTTTTGACAACGGCTTTTCTGACTGGCGTATCGCCATGGCCCTCGGAGATGTGAGAATAAGAGAATATGTTGTGGATGTCTGTTGAATGGTGTGTTTCTTTGTTGCTGTTGACTAGATGCGATACCTCTCCTTCCCAAGTCAACGCCGTCGCCCATATAATTATACCTCTTCCCAGGAGAATGGAGGGACTTGATGGTTAGGAAGGCTGAGCCTTCTGTGGTTAGACGGTATTGTCCGCCTCAGTTGCTTACTGCATATGACATTGGAATATGTAAAGGTCAATTGGAGCTCTCTTATGAATTGCAAGATACCAGATCGTTAACTTCTTCGTCATGGATTACCTATAGCCAAACTGTTCTCTTTCTCGTGTGCATGCAGTCTACTGACTCTATCTGAGACTGTCGATTGGGACATTGTCAATCTTTACGTCTTGATCTCATGGGTATGTATCCAGGTTCTAAGATGTGATGGCTTTTTAGATGGCTTAGGGATCTCTTTTGGTACATTATTTTATGTGAGTAGATCTTTGTAAGGTATAAGCATGGTACATATTCCCGATATAATGCTATAAGATGTCTATGGTTTCTGATTCCTGCGCATATCTAGATGCGATGTCTTCTTACACACTACCTCAAGCTGGCTGACACGACCGACCAGACGGCCACGCATATCTACCTGCAAAATAACTTGTGCCGTCTAAAAGACATACTTGAAGTCCAAGCTCTGATCACCTTCCTTACCATTACTATCATCACCTCTCGCCAAAGCCTTCTCCTTCTGTCTCATCCTCCACTTAAGAAGACCATAAATAAGTCCAATGCAAACCAACGCAATAACCTCGCCTCCAAGCGAGATGGCATTTCCAGTTACGTATCTCGGAGCGTCTCTGATGGGATAAATCTGAGAAGCTGCCATTCCAGAGGCATTGCCGATCGATATGATGGTAGCGATAGCGACGGAGCGCTTGTAGTCTGGCTGGACGTTGTTGGAGATCCAGGTTACTACCACGGTGTTGAAGGAGTAGACTCCGCTGCCGACGAGGAACATGGCAAAGAAACCTGCACCTTTATGGCCTGTGCCGACAGCGATTGCGTAGCCGGCTATGACAAGGAGGGGGGAGTGGATGAGACAGATTGCTCGGCGGTTGAGGCGATCGGAGACGTATGTAGTGGCACCCGTGAAGATGGATGCCAGAACATAGACGGGAATACTGAGATAGTTGGCTTGTAACGAAGTATAGCTGCACTCTGTTAGTCAAGCTCATAACAAGGACAGGCGAATACTTACTCGAGACCTTTGAGAAGGGTAGGCAAGAAAGTTCCAAAGCCAAACAATGCAATAGAAGAACAAAACAAGGCAATAGAAGCAAGCCAAATAAGCGGATCAGTAACAGCCATACCAACCTGCTTCCAAGAGAACTTGACAGTTTCCTTAAACGGGTTATTGCGCTCCTTGATGAGTCTCATCGTCGCCTTCTCCTCAGCGTTAAGAAACCAAGCCGTCTCAGGAGAACTGGGCAAGCTCAACCAGCAAATAGCTCCAACAAGAAACGAAATAGCACCTTCAATAATAAACAGCCATCTCCAAGCAGATAGTCCATGTCGTGCACCCATACTCTGAATCCCATACGCAATAAGTCCTCCTAAAGCTCCAGAAAGCGCAATAGATACATACAGCACAGCCATACGTTTACCTTGCGACGCAGGAGGATAAATCTGCGAAATGACAAACATGAGTGACGGAAAAAGGCCAGCTTCGAAGAAACCGAGTAACACGCGACAAGCAATGACTTGCCCGTAGGAGTGCACAAAGCCAGTACCAAGCGTAATAGCACTCCAGCTAATAATTGCAATAGCAAGAACCTTTCCCGGCCCGAACTTCTTAACGGCGAGAACCCAGGGTGTTTCGAAGATGACGTAGGAGATGTAGAAGTACATTGATACGTCGTTGAATTGGGTTCCGTGCATGCCTGTGTCTTCTTCGAAGCCGAAGACTCGGGCGTTTCCTGGCGAGCGTCAGCAAGAGTGAAGGATTGGGAGGAGAGGGAGGTTACCTATGTTTGTTCGATCTAAGTAGGCAAAGAGAACGAGAATGGCCATTTGAGGCATGACAAACTTGTCGAATTTGGAAAGGACTTTGCGTTCTGCATCGTTGCTGGTTATGCTTGTTTCGCCGGGTTGTTCGAGGGGAAGACTGGTGAGGTCTTCCTTTTTCTCGGAAGCCTCCATATGCGACATATTGAATATAGATACAGGTAGTTAATTACAATCTACTGTAGTTCACATACAACAACGATGGACTGTGGACCGTTATGTATAAAGTCCGGGGTAGACCGGAGCCCGGAGCGGGGACTTCTTATCCACCCCCGCATTTGCTATCGAAGAAGCCGTCGGCGGAGACTAGAAGACCCGCATGATAGAGGTTCCCCGGGTATAATTCCTGGGTTTGTACAGAAGATAGAAGCGATAATGCATGATAACTAGATAAGAAGTGGTTTAATGACTAGGCGAAGGGCGCGATGTCACTCGTCTAAGATCAGATGGGCGGAGTCCCCTGCCGTTTCGGAGCATTTTGTGTTGGCCGACGGCCGACGGGCGATAGAACTACCACGGTTAACGGGTTGTAGCCAATCAGTATTAGTGGGAGGGGAGACATGTTTGGATGTGGAATTAAATGGAGCTTAGAGGTAGTTCACCCAGTCCCTCATGATGGAGAGCAACACCGTCGGGGACCGTAGTTGTAATAAAAGATAGACTGGGACTCATCGAGATATGATAACATTTCTCCAAGTTAGACTTGCTATCAACTCACACACATCAGATCGCAAGACTACATACACTCACAATGGGCTCACTAAACCTACCACCTCTGACAATCGCTGAGTCAAACCTCGCAAAGTCCCTACACGAGAGCTGTCAATTCGGCGCAGCGCACCCATGGGGAAAGTACGTCAAACACCTCCACCCAATATGCACACACATTAACATGTATCTAGAGCATCCACAGAAACGGGCATGGCCCGTCTCAGTCTCGACGACTCAGACAAACAAGTCAGAGACTGGTTCATGACCTATGCCAAATCCCTCAACTTAAAGACCTTTGTCGATCAAATGGGTAACCTATTCGCTATCCGCTCAGGAAAAAATAATGAATTGCCTCCTGTTATGATGGGTTCGCATCTTGATACGCAACCTACTGGTGGTCGGTATGATGGTATTCTGGGCGTTATTTCTGGTCTGGAGGTTTTGAGGACTTTGAATGAGAGTGGTGTTGAGACTGAAGGCCCGGTTGGAGTTGTTAACTGGACAAAGTGAGTCCTCATGAGTTTGTTGTAGGGTTCTTGCTGACGATTTGCAGTGAAGAAGGTGCCCGATTCCCCAAGATGGCTGTTGCGTCAGGTGTGTGGGCTGAAGTCATTCCCCTCCAAACAGCATGGGATCTCAGAGAGATTCTCGCATCTGAACCAAAGTCTATGAAGGAAGAGTTAGATCGTATTGGCTACACGGGTGATGTCCCAGCATCATACCAGTCAAATCCCTTTGCCGCTCATTTCGAGCTTCACATTGAGCAGGGTCCCATCTTGGAAGACGAGGATCTCAAGATTGGAGTTGTCCAAGGTAAGAATGCCACTTCTGTGGGAAGCATTGGCTGACAGTTGTAGGTGTGCAAGCATTTAAATGGTTCAACATCACCGTCAAAGGCCGCGACAGCCATGCAGGCACAACACCACTCTACGCACGCAAAGATCCCATTCTGTGCGCAACAAAAATGATCGTCGCAGCTAATTCGATTGCTAAACGCTTCGATGGCCTAACAACCACTGGAATCTTCACCGCTGAGCCCGGAACGGTGAATACGATGGCTCACACAGTTAAATTCACCCTTGATGTACGCCACGTGCAAGACGAGACTCTTTCTAAAATGGTGGAAGAGTGCCAAGCTGAATTCTCCCGCATTGCATCTGATGATAGCGAGAAGGGCTGTGAGGTTGACTGGGAGCTGCTCGTTGATAGTCCTGCTGTCAAGTTTGACGAGGGCTGTATCGCTGCTGTTGAAGCAGCTGCTACAGAAGTGTGCTCTACTCTATCCAACGAGAAACTCTGGAAGAGGATGATTAGTGGTGCTGGGCATGATAGTTGTTATACCAACCGGGTATGTCCGACGAGTATGATCTTTACGCCTACAAGATCGGGGATTAGTCATAATCCTACAGAGTACTGCTCACCCGAAGACTGGTAAGTTACCATATTCTTTGTTTGTTGAGGAATATTGTTAACGTATTTTAGTGCGCTTGGAGCGAGTGTGTTGCTCGGGGCTGTTTTGCGGTATGACAAGGTGCGAGCGACGAGATAAAGATGGAAGGAAGCTGGATTGACTTTGAGGCTCTACAGAAGTGCCATGGTGTAAGTGGCCAAAGTGAAACAGACCGCCGCCATAAACGTGTGTCTGAGCGTATATAAACAAAACAATTGAAACACACATAAATGAATTGAAACATCTTTACAGTTGGGGTGCTTTAGTAGTGCATGACTCTTTCACTGTACCTGCAGTAATGCTAGGACTAACCCAGTAGTCCACGCCCAGCTTCACTGATTCAAGCGCGTCAGCTGCCTGGTCTCTTGTGGATCCCCTGCGATAACGGAACTCTTATCGTAACTTCCGTCATCGTCCAACTAGGCTATCAAGCTCCCATCCCATCCCATCTCATCTTTAGTCCTACCTCAACTTTCTTTTCTTCTTCTTTCATTCCATAACATACTTCTTTTTTTCCATCCTAACATTTATCATCATATCTCAATATGTAGTCATGATTGATTACTAGTATTGTTATTGTTATCATCACACCGACATCCCAAACACAAACACACAAACATTTCATCATGGCTTCTTCATCCGCCTCTTTGCGCCGAAGTCATGGCTCATCCGGAGCCTCATCCGGCCATTCCCATCCCCGAACCTCAAACTCCAACGTATCGCACGCGCCAGAACTCGACATCGACACACTCGTAAACCATCTATTCGCTTCCAAACGCTCGCTTTCGTCAGTGGCGCTCGTCCTGCGCGCAAACGAAATCGCAAACGCTGCGCGACAGTCCCACGAGGATGTCGCTATCCTAACAGCCCAGACGGGCTTCTTAGAAGAGTCTATCCTTGATCAGACGACTATCCTTGCTAGAGTTAGGAGGAGCTTGCAGGGTACTTATGATTGGGGAAAGAAGGACTTTAAGAAGTTGATCAAGTCGATGGATCTTGTTGATGGCGGGTTGGAGCGCACTATGGAGATGTTGCGCGAGACTGGTGTTGAGGAGGTTTTTCGTCCCAAGGGGGAGGAGAGACGGAGTCTTCTTGATTTCATCGATGAAGGGGGTGTGCATGGAGTTCGAGAAGCCATGAAGAAGAGCATTCAGGAACTGCAGGTAAGCAAACCAGAAGCTATCAACAAACATCTATTGACAAAAGTAGGCTGTACAGCAATCTTTTGATGGCGATCTACTCCGCTTCGACACCGACATTAGGAATCTCAAGAAGATCATCACCGACACCCCAAGCCTATCTCCCGAAGACGGCCCGCCCTCAATCGAACTCCTCGAAAGCTTAGTCGACCACTCCGCAAACATGGCCCAACTCCTCGTCTCGCTAACGCACCACTTCGACATGTGCGTCACCGCCATCCGCACAACAGAAGGCGGCGTCGCCCTCGCAAGACGCAGAGCCGCCGAAACAACACAGGGCACCGACGGCGTCTCCATTTCTGGCGTTATCGCCGAGCAGGAATCTGGAATGTCAGACCTCGAGCCCAAAACAGCCAAAGACCGCGCGGAGATGTTCAAGGTCGTTGTCCAAGATGCTGGCGAGGTGGGTGATGTTGTGCAGGAGATACAGGAGCGCCTCACGGCTATGGAGCAGGATTACCTCGTGCTGCAGGAACAGCATGATATTTCGAAACACGCGTACGAGAGCATGCTGCAAGCGTATGCTGTACTCGGCGACATTGGCGACCGACTGTCTGATTACATTGCGGCAGAGGGAGACTTTAAAACGAGATGGGATATGGAGAAGGAGAGTGTTTTTGCAAAGTTGCAAGAAATGCAGCAACTCAAAGATTTCTACGAACGCTACGCCGGCGCGTACGATAGTCTGATCCTCGAAGTCGAGCGTCGTCGCGCGGTGGATGATCGCGTGAAGAATATCTGGCGGAAGGCACAAGAGAACGTGGATAAACTACTTGACAGCGATCAAGCTTCGCGGGAGACGTTTAGACAGGATGTGGGAGAGTATCTTCCTACGGATCTTTGGGCGGGGATGCAGGGTGCTGCGAAGAAGTGGACTGTTGTGCCTGAGGGAGAAGGGGAGGATGAAGGACCGCCGTTGAGGAGGAGTGTTGTTGAGGCTGCGAGGGAGAGACTTGGTCGGATGGAGAGACGGTAGGATGTGTACTGGATATGACAGCGTACATTTGTATTATTGTTAACGGTGGGAATTGGCGTTAGGTTGGATAGCTTGTTTGTTGAATACCACTCTTCATAGCGATTGACACAATGACTCGTAACTGATGGTATGTTCGTCTTGATTGAAGAGAGAGAAGATATCGGCTTGATTGGGGCAGGCAAAGTTGGCCTTGTCGACAATGAGATCTACCTATGTAGGATAAGAGTCCGACTTCAAACGAGGACCTCGTGGTCCCCTTCCGACAGATGTCCCAGCTGAGATGGCATGAAGTCAGTCAAACCCGGCGTCTAAGAGATTCGTGCCCGAACCTCCTTTCATGAACAATTCTGTCCTCATTAGTTCACTATTGCAGAGTCAGCTATCACAGCGCAGCCTAGGTATTATGTGCATTTGATGTATCCGGCTGGGTACTTTAGTCGGACGTTGTTTAAGAGTCCGAAGGAAGTGTATGCAGGGAAGAGAGGGTATTCAGCAAACGGGGACGGGAATTGCCCGATGGGGAAATTTTAAAGACTCACTCACTCATCGGACTCACTTACACTCACAAGAACTTGAACAAACAGAAACATTCACATTCACAAACAAAGATACTCACCATGTCTGAACCACCTTCAACACGGGTACAAACCCCAGACATCACCTCCCCAGAAACAACCCGCACAAGCCACGTCCAATCCCTAATGGACCGCCTCCGCTCCAAATCCCCCATCTACAACTTCATAATGTCCTCCGCAACCCTCACAAGCGTAACCCCCGGCGTCGTAACAACACGCATGACCCTCAACGAAAACCACCTCAACAGCAGCGGCAACCTCCACGGCGCAGTCTCGGCGACCATTATTGACTTTGTCACCGGTCTGGCGATTGCTAGTTGGGATCTGAGAGAGACGACGGGGGCTAGTGTGGATATGCACATTAGTTATCTGAGTACGGCTAAACTTGGCGATGTTGTGGAGATTGTATCGACGGCTGATAAAATTGGTGGGAGTGTTGCGTTTTCGAGCATTCGGATCTCAAAGGTTGAGAAGGATGGGGGGTTGAAGGTTGTTACGTTGGGGCAGCATACTAAGTATGTTAAGAACTCGCAACCGAGGACTTCGGCGTTGTAGATGAAGGTTGTTTAAATGCAATTATGTGAATGAATATTAATTGGGTTATGAGTTGTTGCTGTCATAGGGATGTATATGGTAACCGATACTGGACTTCAGTCTGGACACTCCAGATTGAGAGCAAGTCCAGATGAATCACACTGGACAGTGAGCGAGGGGCCGATAGGCTCATATGCGAGCCCTCAAACAGAGGCCTTGATGCGATGATGTGAAACTTCCACAGGGCACCGCATCGAGGAATTTCTTGATTAAAGTACGAAAATTCGACAGCTCTCTTGAGCCTATTCCCGGACTCCAATACCATATCTTTGTCCCAGTGTGTGTATCTTCTCCGTATTGTTATTGTACAAAAAAAGCGCCTCAAAGTAACCCAGAACAAAACAGAAATAACGTTCGATATGCGCCATGAACACCGATTTACTGCCTCCGAAACGACTCCGCTTATTCGGCACGAGAACCGCTGCTGTGACGCGCGCGTTTTCGTGCGCTGCTGGTTGCGGGGTGCATCTTGTCGTTGCGCTCTCGCTTGAGCTTGTGGTCCAAGACGCGGGCTGGTATCCGTTAGTACAGATTTCATCAATTGAAGGGGGAGGGCACATACTGAGAACATCGTATCCGAATTGAGGGTGCTCCAAACACAAAGCCTTGAACTCCTCCTCCGCCTCGGCACGCAGGGTATGCGAGCGCGTGGCCCAGAAACTTGCGACAGGAGCGCGAATAGTAATATCGTCGTTGCTGGTGAAGGCATAGACATAACGAGCATATGCGATCTCGCCCTTGGCTGTGGAGTTGACGCAGTGGATCTTGGAGCTGGAAAGCGTCTTGAGACCGTCGACGCCAAACTTCTCGGCAAGAGTATAGATGCGCGCGTGCTTGAGGAGTTGATCGCCGCTGTTGTCGACGGAGGGGATCGAGGGGTCGGATTCTAGGACGCGCTGGCCGGGGAGCTTTTTGGGGAAGTATTCGCCTGTATAGAGGTACTCGAGGAAACTGCCGACTGTGTCGATGTCGTAGTCTGGGAGTTCGATTTGACGGGGCTAAGATGTGTTAGAACGATCCAATGGTTGTGTGGGTGGTTGCTTACGCTGCCGTCTTCGACAAAGGCGTCGCAAATATCCTTAAAGTAAGGACTTTGTGTCAAAAGACCTTGATGCGCTGAGAGAATAGACTGATCGCCCGACCCAATGAGTAGCGTAACGATAGGACTCATCAAATAATTGGCAAAAGTTATCCTCGGCTCGACAACTTCGTCCGTAGCAGTAAGCGCCGTCTCGTCTGCATTCTCAACCTGCTCGCCCTCGACATCTTGGGAGTTCTCAGCGGGAGTTTCCTGGGTGTTGGTTTCGGTCATCTCTACGTCGCCCTTAGGCTCGACGGAGTCTTCGGGTTGGTCTGTAGGCATTTTTGGAAAGGAGCGATTGTAGCGACAAACGAATGGAAGGGGTGCCGAAATCGGTCACAATTGGGAATAGTGGCAAGCAATCTGGAGCGCGTGGGATGGAAACGCGAGATGCTCATGAGAGCTAATTGCGCTAAGCTGGAAACGGAAGCGAGCTTAAGTTGAAGAATGGGGCCTTGAGCGCAAGGCATTCCTGCATGGGCGTCATGACTACCCTAGACTTCCGTTGGGGTTCCAGAAGAATTAGCGACGGAAAGCAAAGAAGACGAAATAACTTGGTCATCTTAGGCTACTTAGACCGCCACGTTATTTTGGCAGCCTACACTTGAAAAAACATTACGTCTTTTCCCCCTCTACAACGGGAATCTCTTTGCTTGCCATATAGAAGTTCAAGGGACAAGCTCCATCTAATCCCAAAGTATGAAGGACTCAGTATTGTTGACCAAAAGACAAGTCGCAAGGTTCATCAAAGACCCTAAATTGAGAGAAGACAAGGACATCACTAATCTGACCTCTCTGCTTATCGATTGGGCCCGTGCAACTACCGCTATCGGTGCGCCCCGCCCCCACTACAATCGGAGGCACTGCACCTTCCGTCAATTGATCCATCCAAAAAAGTGACTCCGAAGCAAACACCTTCTAGTGCATCGCACCAACACAACAATCTTCCATTGTTCCTACTTCTTTGTCCTCAAGCCACCAAAAAAAACATACCCTGACCTCGAGGATATAAACATGTGTGCAGCACAGGTAAGGACTCGAACACCCGATCATTCACTGTTCTCACAATGGAGTATGCTAAACTTCTTCGCCAGCTTGATATTAGGCCAACGGCCGATGAAGCTCGAAAGGCTTTCAATCAAGAATGGACGGCTGAGACACAACCTACGCTTTTGCCCGTCTGCGCTTCTGCTCCTGCTGATCTTTTGACGCCGTCTGCTATCTATCTCAAGCTGTCTTCAGGGTAAAGACACCTCAATGCTGCTTTACGTTCTCTGACTCACAATTCGCAGCGCAACTTCCGAATACTCCTTCCTCCTCGAGAGTGCCACTGGTAGCACAGAAACCGTCGGAAGATATTCTTTTATCGGCGCCAGTAAGCTTCTTTGAGTACATCTGTGGTGGGCGTTTCTAAGTCTTTGTTCTAGACCCTCGAAAGGTGCTGGCCACCGGCGATGGCTACGAACACTCCGGCGACCCTCTCAAGACCCTCGAGACCGAGCTCTCCCACGACCGCGTCCTCGATATCCCCTCACTAAGACTACCCGCTCTTTCCGGAGGTGCCGTCGGATATGTGTCGTACGACTGCATCAAGTACTTTGAGCCCAAGACCGATCGACCATTGAAGGACAACCTCAAGATCCCCGAGGCTCTGTTCATGCTTTTCGACACCATTGTCGCTCTTGATCACTTCCGTTCGACGTTGACTATCGTTACGCATATGAAACTACCAAAGAACCCCTCAGATGATCTCCAACCCGCCTACGACCAGGCCTGCGAAACACTCCGAAAGACTCTCGATATCGTGTACCAGCCCGAGACGCCTCTACCAGCCCAAACATTCGTCGAACAATCCGAGGCTGACCAAGAGTTTTCGTCAAACGTGGGCCGTAAGGGTTATGAGAAGTTTGTTACGGAACTCAAGAAGTACATTGTCAAGGGTGACATTATCCAGGCCGTGCCCTCGCAAAGATTCCGCCGAAGCACAAAGCTCCACCCTTTCAACATCTACAGAACACTCCGAACATTGAACCCTTCGCCATACGTCTTTTTCCTGTCTTGCAAGGACTTTCATATTGTTGGTGCTTCGCCTGAGTGTCTCATGAAGACCGACGGTTATGCACCTTTACCTTCGGACTCGCGGTTTGGATACACTGCTGCTGAGGCTCGGTCAAGACCTCGTATTGTCAACCATGCTATTGCCGGAACTATTCACCGTGGAAAGAACGCCGCTGAGGATGATAGATTGGCAGCTGAGCTTTTGGCGTCTAAGAAGGATCGTGCTGAGCATGTCATGTTGGTCGATCTTGCTCGAAACGATGTGAACAGAGTCTGCCACCCTACGACCGTCAAGGTTGATCGACTCATGCGAATTGACCGTTTCTCTCACGTCCAGCACATCACATCCGAAGTTTCAGGAGTGTTACGCCCCGAATGCACACGCTGGGACGCCCTCCGCTCCATCTTCCCCGCCGGAACAGTCTCAGGCGCACCCAAGATCCGCGCCATGGAACTAATCTACGACCTCGAGCAAGAAAAGCGAGGAATCTACGCGGGAGCAGCAGGATGGTTCGGCTACGACATTGTGCGCGTGGACGACAGCACTGAGTCTGCGGACAAGATCTATGTCGACGAGGGACCTATGGACACGTGCATTGCTATCCGAACAATGCTTGTCAAGGATGGTGTGGCGTACATGCAGGCTGGTGGAGGAATTGTGTACGACAGTGATCCTACGGATGAGTGGATGGAGACTATGAACAAGTTGAGTGCGAACTTGAGGTGTGTGGAGCTTTCGGAGAGGTATTTTGGGGATGGTGTTAGTGGGAAGAGTGTTGAGGAGATTATTGCTGATGAGAGGAGGAAGGGGGAGGAGGAGATTGCTGCTGAGGAGTAGATGGGAATAACGTTTGGTTTGAGAATAGAATTTACTACACATTATGATTGCGAATGACTTTGAATGCTTTGTTATAATGACAAGACAACGACAACGACCATGTGTAGTTCGGATCATATTCCTTGCGGTCCAAGTCCAGGGGCTGATGCGGCATGGATACTTGACTTGTTGAGATTTACCTTTGCCAAAAGAACGCACTATATTGGTCATACTCTCTCTAGAAGAAACGGTCGCTTGGGCCTACGATTGAAAGGTAACAATGACCGCTCATGCAGCGAAGCTCGTGTCCACACTTCCCAGATGATGTTCCAATGCGCACCCACTGAGCAGGACATTAAGACTATTGTTCTTCTGAACAAGGATACTCAGAACATATTACGAGCTTAAAGAACAACCTCTTTGTTATTTATCTCATCATGGCTGTGTGAAATAGTAGAAGCGAAGCAGTTGGGTATAAAGTCTCGACAGATCGCTACTCCATTTGGATTCATCAACACTCATCACTCACTCTTCACACTCACACTCTTATCAGATATTCATTCTTGAACCGGATTTGACATTCGCTTCTACACGGTAAGTATCAGGTAAGATCACCGACTTCACAGGTAAGTATCACCACTGTCCAAACACTTCAGGTAAGTATCATCCCCAATCAATCAGCACCTCAAGACTTCACATCTGTATCAACTTCAGGTAAGTTATACAATCGTCATCATGTCTTCTACACTCGACTACTGGCCTCCTATTCAGGAGGCTATCGCCACTAACAACGATCCCTCGCAACCCAACTCTACAGCCAAGGTTCAGTGCCCGATTTGCATGGACGAGATTGCAGTCACGTCGTTTCCTCCTGTCGCACCCCGAGAAGGCGACAATCCCGGCATTGATCCCACTCAAGGTGAGATCCTCCTCTGCGGGCATGTCCTCTGTCAGGCATGCCGCACTCACCACAACGCGCACAACTGCCCCATGTGTCGGGCTGACCTAGGATGCACTGACTGCGGGAAGTCATCTAAAGTGGCGACCATCCCCAAAGAGGGTCCCCCTTCCACTATCCCTGATATTGCGAAGGGAGACGACGGCGCACGATGCGCTGATTGCAATGCCAAGCGCTGGTTCAACGAGCTCATCGAGCAAGGTGAGTGGCCCAACAACTTAGCTGACCTGGAGCCTGGTTTTGTCCCTCTTTTCTACCATGTGGTAGACAAGCTTGAGGCTGAGAAGACGTCTGTCACCAAGGATACAATTACCGGGACATTCTCCAACATCGTCAGGGCAGAGTTCACCAGCATGATTGGCAAGCGGGCAGAGGCTATTTACAACCGCTCTGTCACTACAGGTAACCGTTGGTTCCAGAATACGCCTGCTCGTATGATGAAGAACAGAACCGCAGTACCCGAGGCAGGAGACGAAGCCTTGCGAAGACGGATGGCACACCGGCAGCAACTTTTCCAGTCCTTGACGGATAGTTACGACGAAGAACTCCAAGCCAAGTACGTCGGACCCATTACACTTGAAGAGGCTGAAATAGAATCGCATAGTCACCTTATGATATCCACCTTGGAGCGGGAAGGCCGTCGATCACCGAGCGTGATCCAAGACATATTGCGAAGAAGACGTTCGGAAAACGGCCCTGCAGAGATACCGGCAAGAGCTCCTGCTCCTTTGTCTGAAAGAGATCGTGATGCCGCAGGGAGACAGCAGATGGCTCATGATTTTGCACAAATGATACGAATGCAGCTTTCGGGGCCCGGTTTCAATCCTGGCCCTCCTCGTTTTGCCATGAATGGTATGCCTCCGAATGGTGCTCCTCAGGCTGACATGCAGCAGGATGATTCTGCGGACATAGCTGATATGCCTCTGGATAATGCTATGGACACGGGGGAAAATGAGTTGCCTGGGCTCATTGACCGAATTAACCTGGAGGATGGAAGTATTGTTGAGTATCACTCGGATGGAGATGGAGGTATTGTTGAGTATCACTTTCACTTTATGGACCTCCTTAACAGAGACTCTGAGGCAGAGTACGAGGGAAGAGACTAGACTAGTGGGAGAATATCCTACCTACCTAGCTAGAGGGAGAAGATGAAGATTGGTAAGTTGGAGTCTGTCAGTCGGTTAACGCGTGTAAGTCAAAATACGGGCTGGACCCGGTAAGTGGGAAGTTTTGTTTTGATCTCGGGCCGCACGGCACATAGCAATTGATTTTTATATTTCTTCATTTAAATGATATATCCAAGACTAGTGATATGCCGCATGGTTTACTAACTAGTGAGTATACGTAGTACGGACGGTGAAACATGCAACGGGATTAGGAGTGGGATATAAGCAGAAGCAGTGCGTCCTTTAAGGCTGTACTTTTTAGCGGGGTCAAAAGCAAACAGTTTCAGAATTGTGCCGTCTGAGCCGTGAACGTCGGACGATCTCTACAACAGCAGGACATTGAACGACAGACAACTCGTGACTACCTTTAAGCCATTGATGTCAGTTCTACCTAAGCATGAATACAAGGTGCTGCTGTCAGCTTGTCTGTCACGGGGGAGAGAGTAAAGTTTGAAGCCACGCAACATCCAGGTATTGTCCACGTATTGAAGCCAGGTACACGTATGTTATGGAAGAATCTTCACGGATATCGGCTTCTCTCATGACTCAATTCGAGCGAGGATGATTATCTCAATGCCGGACGGAATATATATGCCGAATATATCGAAGCGAAAGTAAACTACGGGGACTAATATATTTGGAGGAAAAGAGAAAGACAGAGGAAAAAGAAAAAAGTGGAACAGGATAGCATCATCTCACCGCGCCGTGCCGGTATCCGATCGCGCCCAATCGACCCCGGCAAGTCGGCACAGAGACATCCACTTGGAGTCTCCCAGCTTATAACACTCCTTCAAGTATAGGTAGACATGAGTGAATATATGTTCAAGATGAGATGTAAAGATGTATGAATATGATAGAGGATATAGAGAATAGAGTCTTGATATATATTGATACTCATTGTATGTATGCATGTCAACTCGCTTCTTCGGCATCAATTTACAGTAACAAGGGGGGGTGACACTCACACACCAGCGCTAGTGGACAAGCCCGTTGACTTGGTGCTTGCTTGTCTCGGAAGTACGGCTTCACCTATGAACCTATAACACCTAATGAACCCTTTTTCTGCAGTGCCGTCTGTTCCAGCGCAGCAGATCCTCGCACTAAGAATAGAACCACTTATACTTTCCTCTCTCTCTGTCTCTCACACATTTCTGTTCCTGCCTTCACATTTTATTTATCTATCTACAGTCTATTGATTCGAATTGTTAGAGACGCCCCTCCCGTCTCGGTCTTTCGCGCTTGACAAGACGGAGTTTGAACTGTCAAGGGGTGCTAACATAGTCCATTTAAGGCCTAGAAGCCGCTTTTCTGCCAAGATTCCTACCCATCGCCTTCTGTTCTTCTACTCTTGAGCCTCATTCACTCTCAGCCTCGACTTTGACATCACTCCAATTCAATTTACTTCGACTTATGATCCCGCGATAGATGCCTTCCGCTCTGCAGGCCGACATGGACTCCCACGCCTTCGTCGGCCTCCCTACCACAACCGCCATAACCGGTCTTTTAGAAGTCGGCGCCGCTGCAATCGACATCCTATCCGACCTCAACATCTCACCTCAACACGACACCATCGTTCTCAACACCTTGTTGCGGGAAGTGAAAGAATGTCGCTCCTCTATTCACGCCTTTTACAAGACTCTCAATCTTATTGAGAATGGCCAAATTCCTATTCCTGCGCGCGCAGCTTGGATTAGCTTGGACACCCTCGTCGCGACGCTCACGGATACTGTTCTTGCGTTCTCGAGACTAAGTTCGCTGTGCTGTGCGGTTGATGAGGAGAGTACGCAGTCTAGTCCCGAAGATGCGGCGAAGCATTTTGAGAAGAAGATTAGAGCTTTGTGTGCGAGGATTAGATGGCATAATCTTTCTATTGCCATGATGATGACGATAGTGAACTGGTAAGTCACAGCAGCCATGGTACTCTCACTCAAAGAGGGTTTACTACACACGGACCTTGCTGACAGACATAAAAGCCCCGGAGAAAAAGACGCAAAAAACAGCCGCGACGAACTCGCGCATCGAGTAGCCCGCCTCCTCACATTCAACGTCAACCTCGCCTCGCGCCTCCGCCACAACACAAGACCAAGCTCCGGTTCCGGTTCCTCGGGTGCCAAGACGACCGAATCCCCCGAGATCACCCCCGTCAATGTGGGGCGTCCTCCGCCGGCGACATACTCAGGAACACTCTCCAACCTAACTCACCCCAAGGCGTTATCACGAGTGGTTCTGCCTATCGAGTTGAGAGAGTTGAGGGATGACTTTGAGTACTACTCTGGTAGCTTTCCTTCGACGGTGGGAAGTTGTGAGTTTCCTACTGGTGGTGTTCTTGTTGGGACGCCGTACAATGTCACTTCTGCGCGATGAGAAACCAAGATCATCAGTGCAGGGAATCATCAGTGGGTCAGTATGTCATCGAAAGATGACGAAATATATGCAAAGTCGGTGTTTGGGTTGGAAACAAGTTCAAGTTGAGGGAGATTTAGACGGACATTCTTCATTTGGGTTGTTTATGTGTAATGATTTCCTTTTATCACATGGAGTTGATTTAGCTAGGCATTTGCAATTATTCACGTAGAGATATCCATCCAATCAATTAATCAGCCATTACTTGGCATGCGTGTTCTAGGTATGAGTGCTATGGGTATGTTCTGCTTGCTATAACGATGTGCCTGCGATGCTATGCTAGGTATACAACCACTCCTTACATAAAGAGCTTGCTGCCGTGGTACTTTGTCTCGTCAGAGTATGTCTCGGTCTGTACAGTCTTCTCGGTAGATCGCTCAGGGAAACCCTTGAACGACTTGGCATAAGTAGCGACCGAATGAGCAATAAGCTGTGGGTATTGTTAGTGTTACGCTTCCAAAACATGTGATAAATGACTTACCTTTGTGTTCACCTCCCAGGCAGTGTAGTTGACGTTGGTCAGATCGTCGCCGATTTGGTGGTAGTTCTTATCGTACCATTCGCCAGCTTCTCCACCAAACATCTCAGCCTCTCGCTCAGTCTTGACACCCTCGGCACCAGTAGCGATACCACCAGCAGGAATACCACCACGGATAAAACCGTCGTAGTCACTGCGGCCATCAAAGGGGATGAAAGTGTAGTTGAGGCCCTGCTCCTCGTACCAGTCAACGTAAAGGTTGCGCAACTCCTCAGATCCCTTGGGGTTGGCAGCATTGGTAGCGTTGTAGATCTGGTAAGCAAAGTTGGGACTGGCCATCATGTCGTAGTCCATGAAGAGGCGAATCTTCTGGTTCTCTTCCTCGGAAAGAACCGAGACGTAGTGGTCGGATCCGAGGAGACCTTCCTCCTCGGCGGCCCACCAGGCAAAGCGGACGCAGTTGTTGACGCGGTACTTGGTCAGCTGGACAGCAACCTCAAGCACAGAGATGCTGCCGGAACCGTCATCATTGATACCAGGACCCTCTGCAACGCTGTCACTGTGGCCGCCAAGCATGACACAGTTCTCAGGGTCACCACCACGGGTCTGGGCGATGATGTTGGTGGTCTGGATGGTCTTGACCTCGGCGTCGATGTAGGCAATAGCATCAACCTCCTCGCCATCCTTGATCTTCTTGGCAACAGCCTTGCCCTCATCACCACCGAGACCAAAGGAAGCGATGTGATCAGGAGAAGGAGTTCCCAGAGTTCCGTGCACCTCACCCTTCTCGTAGTTGTATACAACAGCCGCAACAGCACCCGCCTTGCCAGCGTTGGCAGACTTTGTTCCAAAGGGGCAAGTTCCGCGGAGGATGAACGCGATGTTTCCCTTGACATCCTTGGGATAATCGGACTCGTCGCATCCCTCGTTGTTCACAAGAACAAGCTTTCCATGGACAGGCTCTTTATTCTTCGTAGGAGGAGTCAAGGCCAAAGGCGAAGCTTCCTTGGGAACATCATTGCCGAGAACAAGTCGCGACTCGAAAACGTTACCCGAAACGGCAGGGAACTGCTGGTTTGAGACGGAATAGTATCCGCCCAGCTTGGCCAATTCAGCGTGAATGTACGACAGCGTGCCGAGATGGCCTGTCAATCAGTCAGTCATGATCATGATAACACCGCCGATTTCGGAGAAACTTACCCTCGCTACCGATGACACGAGTAGGATGACCATACTCGTCCTCTCCATTCTTAGCAATCTCGTAAAGATCCTTTGCTCGCGCCTCGAGATTCTCGGGCTTGATGCTCTTTTGAAGGGCTTTGGTGTCTACCATGGGTAGATCATCGCTGAAGGGATTCCATGAGAGCTTTGGGACTTGGAGGTTGAGAGGAATCTGAAGAGCTGAGACGGCAGTCGCGGCTGCGATTAAGCAGACGCCCTTTGTTGTCATATTGATGGATGATGATGAGAATGATGGACAAGAGAGGGAGGTTGTAAGAGGGAGAAAGTATGAGGCAGGGTCTCATACAAGAGCAGGTGATACAAGCTTGTGACGTGATGATCTTTGAGCTACTGGAGCTTAGCTTGGTTGCCCTGCCAGGAACCCGAGGCATTGCTTATCTTTGGCCTGGTCTTAGCTGCGCGCAAGGGCTCTTTCCCCATCCTGTCCCCGCGCCCTATCTTGATTGGTGTCTTGGCGGTCATCTACCCTGCACTTTGTGTCTTGTCATTGATGGATTGAAAGGTGCCATACAAGCAGGATGAGTCAACGATTAGGTAGGTGTATCATTAAATGATGAGACGCCTGTTTATTTGGATATTATCAATCAACTTGAAATTCTCCTCTGACTCTGTGGTCTGGCAATGAGGATTGTTGCAGCCTTTCGCATTCAACCCATATGTTGAAGCAAAAGTGAACCAACAGGAACACATGGAGCGAGATCCAATAGATGACACACAAAGTACACCACAGAAACATGGACTGGTCGTACATTTTACTATTAAAATGTATGTGTATAATCGCCGAGCGAAATTGAGTACGTTCCTAAGATCTATGCATACACCATGAGTGGTACACGCAGACATTGTTCCTCGCCTACCGACACTAAGTAAAGCAAACACCAAATGAACAAACCATTGTCCACACAACAAGCCCAATAAGAACACTGCACTTCTCACTCGCAACTGCTATACTCCAATTGGTCATGAATCTTACACCCTCATCTTGGCGACAAACCGTCAGCTCACTCAGCTCACCAAACATAGGGTGCTGACATGCTGACGCTGATGAGAATCACTTAAAACAACTCAATTCCCAGGTAAATAACTCTGATATCAAGCTTAAGTCTACTGTATCTATCTACCTCAACTCGTCACCGCTCACTACAATGCATCCCGCTTACACACTATATATCGGTCTTGAAGCCCGTGTGGCCGAGTGGAAGAGCGATATGTACGCTGCCATGAACAACGCGTTTGCTTTGCCGGCTGATGCGCAAGTTCAGGTAAGATGATGGATTAAAGAGGTAGAGGAGGTATGCTTACGATGTGTAGGTTGATGAGAAGAAACCGCTTATTGTTGAGAAGAGAGTGGAGGAAGGACGGGAGGGATTGAAGGAATGGACGGAGAAGAAATAACGACGACATTTGGGCTGGCAATATGAGAATAAACAATGATCTGGTTCCTGGCCACATTACTATGAATAACTGAGTTGAGCAAGGGTCATGAGTTCACATTAATACATGATTACCAAGGTAGGAAATCCTGAAAGAACAGCAGCCCTCCCATTCGCTATACACATGCAGTATATCAGACCACTTCTCAAACCAACATTTCTAGTATTTTACTCAAACAGGTCTATCTATCCATTCAAGGAATGCTCATCTTGACATGATCAACCTTCTTCGTAGCCCGCCCCCCAAATCCCCACCCAATCTGATGCGCAAGCTGAATCTCAATATCCAAATCATCAGCCCAAGCCCAAACCAAACCCGGGTTCTTCTGGAACATTCGTCCCGCAGCAATAAGATCAATTGCTACATCCCCGTCATCCTTTCCACCAGAGATAATCTCTTCGGCGACAGTACCAGTCTTGATACTACCTACCGCGGAGACCAACATCTTGTCGCCGACTACCTTCTTGATATGCTTAGCAAACTTGACCTGATATCCAGGTCCGCCTTGAACCTTTTGAGAAGGATGGTTACCGCCGGATGAGACGTCAATAACGTCTACACCACGTTCAGCGAATAACTCAGCGAGCTTGGCGGCTTGGTCGACGGTCCAGCTTTCGCCGGTGTAGTCGGGGTTGGTATCTAACCAATCCGAAGCACTGATCCTCACGAAAAGAGGCATACTCTCCGGAATTACAGCCCTGACTTCCTCAACGAGCTCCAGCGCAAGACGGGTACGGTTCTCGAACGAACCGCCATACTGATCCGTACGCTTGTTAACAGCAGGTGTGAGGAATGAAGAAACAAGATATCCATGCGCGAAATGAAGTTCAATGACATCAAAGCCGGCTTCAACAGCGCGATTAGCAGCTTTCACGAAATCTTTCTTTAGTTGGTTGATTTCGGGAATGCTCATGCTGCGAGGCGTGGGGTGGTGCTCGTTGAAGGGTTCCGTGCTGGGACCGTATACATCATTGGGCCAGCCGTTTACTTCCTCGGTGGCGGTCGCGCCGGCGCTCAGCCAGGGTGCTACGCAGGAAGCTTTGCGGCCTGCGTGGGCTAGTTGGATTGCGATGTTTGTGTTTTGGCTGTGCGCAAAGTCGACGTTTTTGCGGAGTGTGTCGATGTGGGCGTCTAGCCAAATACCAGCGTCCCTGATCCATCAGTATGATACCATAATTTTAAGGTAAGTACTTACTCAGGTGTAATACGACCATTGGCTTGAACAGCAGTAGCTTCAACCATCATAAGACCAGGCTGCAAACGTTAGTCCAACCTCATACCAACGCCATAACGCCACTTACACCGCGCTGCGCCATGCCTCCGTAATGGGTGATGTGCCAAGGCGTCATGAAACCTTCATGGCAAGAGTACTGACACATAGGGCTGACCCAGATTCTGTTCTGCATGGTAACACCCCGAATCTTGAGGGGTTGGAAGAGTCTAGGCACGGGTCTTCCATCGCTGGGCTTAATGGCGAGACCAGGTGGGGGATCTTGTTCGGGGGTGAAGAAGGGAACGCCCTTTGCTGCCTTGTTGGGGATGGGATGGCTGCATTTTTCGGTCTTTGCTGGTGCGGGTGTTTCCGGTCTTGAGACGGGGATGCCGTGGTGAGGATGGGCGATACGCTTGGTGAGGTAGGCTGCCATGGTGTTGAGTTTATCACGATGAGTTGGTATCACGGTGGGTTAATCTTCAAAGCATGTCACGACACGGCAATAGCATTTATATATCAATCATTATGGGTCAATGACGTGGGTGATTAGAAATGTTGACGGTCAAATAACGGCATGGAGATCTCCATCGCATGGCGCGGATCTCTGCGAGGCGCATTCCATGTCCATATCCGTCGGCATTGAAAACGGAGTCGGCATTGTCTTGTAAAACATTGAAGCATTTATAATAAATAACGTTGCCCAGCTGGTGGGTCGACTATCTATACGGAACTAGACCCATAAACTGATCTAACCTGATGTTCTGCTCTGCTCTGCCGCAAATAAACTAAACTTGTACAATTATAAATCCCGCTCGCCTCATAAAATACAGTACATATATACTCGGTCCGACTCCCCACGTTATCATGGGTCAAGCAACCTGCTGTTCACTCTTCGTAGCCTTCCGCTTCTTCGGTGGCCCGAGTCTTGTTCTGTTGTCGGAGCAATCTTTCCAATTAATCCAATGCTGTGTCTCTTTCGTCCCCTGTCAAGCTCCTCTGCCTCTTCCGTATCTGTCTTGAGGGCTCCAAAGCTCTTGCGACTTCTGACCCGGCGTTCATCATCAGGATCCAAGAATCGGTGAATGGTGCGATGATCCAAGATTCTCTCTTCCTTGTCATGGGGTCCCGCCTTGTCCGTCTTGGGCCAGATATATCCGTAAAGCTTGGAATGTCGTTCGCATCGAGGACATGAAGCTCGTGTAAAGTATGCATTCTGTTGTACAAAGTAACCGTCGCAGATGGTACACTGGATCCAGGCCATCTCAGGTTCTGATAAGAGTAGCGGTGTAAGGAGGTAATCGCCCGGTATCCGCACTCGTGATGGGGGTGTGTCTTCCTTGTAGACACGACGTTGGCTCTTCTTTCGCTTTGGCTGTTCTTCATCAGCAGCCTGGCCCTCCTCGACTGTCTCAATGCTAGTCGCAACAGGTGCAACTGGCTCAACAGGTGGTGGTACCACTGTTGCTTCCTTCAACTTCTTCGACTCAGTTTCGCTTTCGGTTTCGGACTCCAGTGGAGCGTTCAAAATAGCTTGAATAGACATAGTATCCAAACTGCTTCGGTTGCTCCCTGTCTTCTGCTGTGGTGATCGCGAACCCTCAGTGCTCTGCGGAGATACTGGTGCGATCCTGCTTTGATCATTGTTCTGCTTGTTTGCGCCCTTCAATGGTGTTTGCATGGGCTCTGGCGTTTCCTTCTCAGGCGAAGTGACATCAGTCTCGACAACACCGCTTGACGATTCACTAGCCGTCACGGATGTGCCGCGAGATGAAGAATCGGAGACAATCGGTTGAACTTCGAGTTTCTGTCGCTTGGCGGGTGTCTTGGGAGGTGTTGCTAGAACATCGTGTGTTCTCTTGCGACTGGACTGTTCGACGGATGGAGATCTGGCAGATGATGAATCGCGGGCCAGAAGTGACCCTCTCGAGTTCGCCTTCGTAATTCGTGGTCGCCTGTCCGGGTTGGCCGATGGTGTTCGTGAAGACCCAGAAATACTGTCATCTCTTCGTCGTCGTCGAAATGAGTAACCATCTGACTTGCTCTGCTCAATACTGGTCTGCACAGGCGCTGTGCCCTCCGCAGGCTCCCAAGAATTCCTCAAAAGATCCTCGCAAGTCTTGCACAAGCACTCGCAGTTGCTCTCGCCAAAGTAGTTGTCTCCGTACGTAACCGTAATTTCCTCTCCTGCTTCAATCGCCCTCGTTGCGATAATCTCGATTCCGGCATGGCTCGTCCTCATAAGTTTGGCGTTTGCATCGCAATCGTGGTTCGCAAATCGTGCAGGTCCCATAAACAAGCTGGTGCATTTGCTTCGCGAGCTGACAACAATGCTGAAGTCCTTCTTCTGAGATGAAATGGCCTTTTCTTCCTCTGGTGTAATGACGACTTGAACTCCGGATAGGTACTTGATAGCCTCATTGCGCCGAATGGCTCGTCTAGCGGTCACCGCTGCCTCGTGGCTAACAATCGTATATCGGTTCGTCGAGCTGACCTCCCAGGGACAATCGGGTAGATAAATCTGCACATAGCGTCTGAGATGCTTTCGGAAATCCTCCTTTTCCTTATCGGTTTTCAAGCCATTGTGAAATCTTTTGAGTCCGTTTGTCGTCAGCAATCGCTTCTCCGCACTATCCAGATCCTTCTTCAGAACCACCTCCTCTTGTAGAATCTTTGTAATTTCCTCCTCCCTTACACCTCTCGAGGGGTGATAAGATGTGCGGTTCTTAGGAACTGTTGTCCAATAAAAGACCTGGCTGTGTTAGAGTCGCATTGCCTTCTCAGTCATAAACCACTCACATGATCAACCAGTGCGTCAGTGAGAATGTCATCATATGCTGACACTTGAGCCAATGTCATGCGAGGCTTCGGCTTCTTGCTGGTCGCAGTCTGTGGAGGAGGCATTTTGCCAAAATTCGAACTGTTCTTCCAAGCACTCCTGCTCTTGATCCTGCCGTCGTAGATAAAAGGAGCGTACGTGTCCCTTGAGACTAGCTGTAAAAGTCCGAGCGAAAAAAAGAGCGGAGATGTCGATCCTTGGCTCACTGAATCACAGCCTCGTCAAGACGACAGTCGAAGCTATCCAGCTTCTGATGAGCAAAGATGTCGGGGACCAAAGAGAGAAGATCGAAAGTCAATTGCTGCTGTTGTCCAATTCAGTTCATCCGTGCCGCAACGTCATAGCCTTAGTGGAGATTTTCAGTAAGGACCGATGAGAGAAACAGACGAGGCTTAGTCGTACGAAGATGAGAGAATGGTGTTGAAGCAAATGAACCTTCTCAAGGAATCGGGCTTGAAGGAGGGAAGTGGAATGACATGTTAGTCGCCCGCTTGCTATCGACGTTAGGGGTTGCTTTGTTCCCTCCTTCCCTGAATCAAGGCCGGTTTGGGGGCATTGGCCAGGCGACGGGTGGGGCTGTGTCTCTTGAAGTGAGATGTTTAATCAATCAAATGTGGCTCAGTTTCAGCTGTGGCTGAAGCACGTGATGCTAGTCGAAAAGTTCAGTTGGGCACATTGACGATATCCCCAGTTGAACCGTGGTGAGAGTAGAGCTATCGACCCTCCGCGTGCGGATACACAGTCAAGATGATTCAATTAAAGGTGAGCCCCTGTATGTAATACTTATGATTCTAGGTGCTGACCATGACAGACAATGCTTAACTGCATCGACAACTCGGGCGCTGCCCTTGTTGAATGCGTCTTGGTCGTCGGCCAAAAGCGACATGCCCGAATCGGTACGACACGATAACTACCCACGAACGAACCTCAACATAACTAACATCTCCAGGTGACCGTCTTGTCGTCGTCGTCCAGGAGCAGCGTGGTAGCTCCTCCGGTGGTATGGCCGGTATGTCAGCCGCCAACAAGGTCAAGCGAGGAGACATCCGCCACGCCGTCGTCGTCCGAACCCGATACCCTACACAACGCCGAGACGGATCAGTAGTCAAGTTCGACGACAACGCCTGCGTTCTGTTGAACAAGTCTGGCGACCCCGTTGGCTCACGTATCAACGGTGCTGTTGGCGCAGAGCTGAAGCGCAAGAAGTGGAGCAAGATTCTTTCAATGGCGCCTATGCAGGCTTAAACAAATTACAATGCGAATTTACGAAACAAGAAGAGTGTGAGGATGGGCGGTGTTGTAAAATACAGGATAGATCGGGGTGACGGTTGGCTGACAACAGCCGTGTACGAGTGGAATACTGTACAATTATGAATACTATACTCGGGCATATGCGAGGCGTTGATGCGAGAATAAAAACACCTTTCAGCTCTGAACATTTCACATTATTGCAACATATCACAAGACGATTCTAAAAATTCCAGAAAGGACTGCCATGTGCAGCCAGATTGATTCAATCTCCTCCTCTAAGTAACATCTACTGCTATGCAGTTTAATACAGGGCCATAGTAAAATACAGGATCTGGTTCCTTTCTAAAATCCCCGGCGCCAATGACAGAAACCTTGTCATAACCTTGCTAAACGCCTTGCCAAATACAAATGATAATGCGAGCATCCTCCACATCTTGCACAGCGACGTGTCGGTGCTGGGTATCGATACAAAGTTCTCCCTCAAGTGAAAATGTGACCGCATTCGCAGCAGACGTAGAACAGTTTCTGACAAGATTGTTAGAACGACAAATGATTGTTGGCATGTTTGGACAAACTTACCATGCCAGTTTCAGCGCTTCGCTGCTGAGATTGGAAGAAGACAGCTTCGGTGTGCTGGCAACTAGGGCAGGTCTTTGTAGATCGCGGGAGCTGCAGCGCGCAAAAGAAAATAAAGTCAGCCAGCAGTCTTTAAGCGTATGACAAGCGGGTTCCAAGGAAGACGCGAGCCACCAGTGCTCCAACTGCTGTTTCCAACTGTCATTTCACGGTTGGCGGTCTGGTGCCTGCCACCGGAGTATAATACCGAAAAAGCCCGAGCATGTGCCAGCCAGCCCAATGTAATAGTTCATGCCAATAATGTCGTCATATTCATGGTCGTCGTGATGCATTTGATGATCGTGCGAGAGGCTCATGATTCGGAAAGCATGGAGATCTCTTCGAGAAACTCTTCGCTCACGTCGGAGAGGAAGTCATCAGACTCGTTGTTTGTGTAAGAGTCCTCGTCCATCATCTCCTCATCGTACTCGGCATAAGGATCCTCCCATGGCAGGGTGAACTGGCACATGCCTGAGATGGGCTTCTCGATCTTGTTCAAAGAGGCAACCATATGGCAATCGGGCTTGCCGCAGGAGGTGCAGTAAATGACTCCGCCACAACCATGGCAGAGAATAGGTGGAAGGTCACTAACCGTTGGATCGGAGCCAACATCCTGGGTGACACCGGCGGTCTCACCAGCCGAGGTGTTGAGGACATTGCGGAAAACGCAGGTAGACTTGGCGTCCTCGGTGTACTGGCAGGTTCGGCAGGTAAACTGGAGCTTGTGAGCATCCTGATCCTCCTTGGGATAGAGCATGTTGGAGCATTCGGAGCAGAATCGGAAAGTAATCTGCTCGAGCTTCTTGTCGGCTTCGGCACCCTCGTAAGAGGTGGTAGATTGGGGAGTGGCCATTATATCGGTCGCGGTGTGGGTTGTTTTGGGTGGTGGTTCGAGGTTGAACAGGATGATTGCTTGCTTAGAGAAGATGCAAAAAGCAAATGCAAAAACTGAAATACTCGTATATTTCAAGCCGGGAGAAAAGGCGAATGTTCGCGCGTAAGGTTCGAGGCGGAAATGTTGATGAAGGAAGAAGAAAGAAGGGGAGAAATGATGAAAGACGATCTCTTGAGAAAATAGTCCAGGAGGCAGGTAGTGGGAGGGGCTCGCTATGGCAGCTGTTTTCCGTGTCCCACTTTTCCTTTCAGGTGGTTGAATTTGGATGGCCAGACAGAGAGACAGTGCTTGCCTGGTTTTTGGCTTTTGTGTGTGCAGTTGGGCAGAGATAGGGATTGGGTTGATTGAAGTTACAGTTCAACCAGAGTTTGTAGTGAATAAATATTGGTTGTGATTGACGAGGGTTGTTTGAGGGTTTGTTTGTGAACAGAGATTCAGTGTCAAAATTACAAAGGAAGAAAAGACGGAACAGAGATAGAGCTATGGCGGCTAGTCGGGTTTTGTATGGTGGTATGGAAAATCAGCATGACTGAAGTGACTGTGAGCGAAACCAAGGCACAAAGGTTATTCTACAGCTACTACGAAGTTTCATCCCATCAGTGGCCTCGTGTGGGCGGTCACACCCGCGTAAGTGGGCATTTCTCTTGCAGCGCCTTGCTTGCTGACGAGGGTGTCAGAAGAATTGGCCAAAGCCCAAGAGAGAATATAATTCAGTCACTTTTGTCTGCATACAGTCCACTTATTTTGACGCCCTTAGCCTTGGGAATTTTCTGATACCCTTCTAGCCCAGCTATTCTCATGCAAGTGGCAAGGCAAAAACACTGGGGACGTGGTGTTTCTGACAAGGTTTATTTGCGGTGACTCACGAATCAACAAGTACACAGCTCTTGATTTGATACTGGGCGGTGATGCCTTGGGATCATTTCATCTCAAGGCAGCGAGAACGTGCGTGAAATTACATTCAAGATGTTGCTTGATTGGCTCATCTCGCCAGATGCTACTCCGTAGGCCTACGAAACACAAGGCTGGGATGTCCTCAGGGTGTCAGAAGAATTGGCCCCAGGGACCATAAGAGACGAAATAATCTGGACATCTTATGCCAGCTTAGGCTATCGTCTAGGCTACATTATTTCTGTACCCTAAGCCTTGGAGGATTATTCTTCTAACACCCACCTCGGCTGGGAAGTTCACATCATCACTTGTGCGTTAATCAGGCACGATGCAACATCTGTCACGATAACAACTAAAGCTATAGCGATATGCACAATGGAATGGCCCCTATTGATCAGCGAACATGAAAGCGGATGCAGGAACACGCTTTCCACCACCTCAAACAATGTGAGGTGCAGACAAGTGATCAATATGTGGCACATGGAGGGCTGGCTGAGGTCCACGAGACCATCACGATCGCACCAAGGCGGGATATGAGACACGATCAACGAAAAAGGCCTCACGCATGCCCACGTGTATTAATTACGTAGATCCATCAATTACTGTGAATCTCTGTTAGGGGTAATACGGGTTCCCCGTCTGATAGGCTTTCGATAAAGTAGCCAAAGTCCCATTCAAGAGCGGGCTGGGCTGGTTAGATCTCGGTAAACTTACACAGGAATATTCTAAATTTGAGCCTCAGCTTCTGTACGTCACTAGAGCGGTGTTGTTTGTTCAGCTAAAACAACAGCCCACTTACACGATAGAAAGTCCTGTTCTGTCTCAAACTACTGTAAGCTTACACAAACGGTGAGTGAGTCGAGAACAATGCGAGAAAATGAAGGTTTATTACGAGCAACCATTGATTGCCTTACGGATGGTAAGCCGCCACTGACTTGAAATCTAGCGAATTCGAGATCAATGGTGCCTGAGCCTCCTAACGGCAACGGACGGGCTGACTTACACGAGCATCAAAAGTGCAAAGCCCCAATCACAGCCCCAAACCAGTAATACCTCACACATAATCGACATCTGCCTTCTCAATCCACTTCTCAGCGGCCATCAAGATCTGTCAAACATTTCCTTTCACCGCTCCCATAGTCCAAGCTTTTATAGTGTTTTTTTCGCATTTGCTTATTTCCTGTTTCTAGATCTACGCACAGGTAGAATCTCATCAGCTAGACTATTGGTCCAGCTATTAAAACCAGGGCAGCACCACGTAGCGTTTAACTTCGGGACAAGGTTCAGGGCTAGAGGGAGAGTGACAGGCCTGCGTATCATTCGGGATTGACAGGTCAATGCAGCATAATACGTGCTGCAGGATGATACGTACTGCAGGTATGTGCTGTTCATCATTTTCAGACATTCTCGTTTACCCGAATAGAAGGGTGGAGAGAAAAGACTGGACGATTTTGCAGCTGAGAAGAGATCCCATGGATAATGGAATAGACCCGCAATGGTCTTGCTGGTGTTTGAAGCATGGGAAAGCCGCAAACCACCATCGGGAACCACGATGTGTGCACTCTTCAAGGTATTTTAGATACAAACAGCGACCTTCGATCTCGGCTCCAGCTTCAAACACTGAATTATTCCGTTTGATGGATGCCACGGAGATTCCCCCAGGCACGGAAAAACCATTCAGCTCAACTGTGCCACGAGTCCGGTGACGATAGAACCCCTTGTTGAAGCACCCACTAGACGACCCCATGACCTCCTACCCGGTAAGCCAGTCTCTTCATTGGGTAAAACTCAGAAAGTTCCAGAGACTCTCACAGAAAGGCGTCTTGGTTCAAGGGGGAGGTTGTATCGCTGCAGGGTAAATTGTTCTCTGAGCCTATCATTACCTTCCATTTAGTGGATGAAGGGACACCCCGCGTCCAAACCCCGCGCGCGGTTGCCATGCGGCGTTGCTGAGGGCGGGGGTTCACCAATCCCAGTACAGTTATAGCGCTGGAACCTTTCTGATGGACGGCACGTCATTGTTCCAGTAACGAGAAACACAAGGACCCAGATCAGCTTTCAGCTCCAGCTTACCTCCATCTTGAACTTTTCACCCCATCCAAGCTGTATCAAACTCCTCTTATATACACAACATAGACATAATGGTAAGCATCGCGATTCTAGAGCTTCTTGCATTGACTAACTTTTGCGACGACAGGCTGACACCGGTCTTCCTCCTGGTTGGGAGGTCCGTCACTCCAACTCCAAGAACCTTCCTTACTACTTCAACTCGGCCGAGAAGTTGTCGCGATGGGAGCCCCCTTCTGGCACCGACACCGAGAAGCTCAAGCATTACATGGCGACTAACCATTCTGCTGGTTCGCGCCCTGGTGCTGTTCCTGGTGTTCCTGAGGGCAAGATCCGCGCTGCTCATCTTCTCGTCAAGCACCGCGATAGTCGACGACCCAGCAGCTGGAGAGAGGTATGCACCACGTTGCACCTACAAGTACAAGTACCTGACTAATGCAACAATCACAGGCCGAGATTACTCGTTCCAAGGAGGAAGCTCTCGAGATCCTCAAGGAGCACGAGGCTAAGATCAAGTCTGGCAGCATCAGCCTTGGCGAGCTTGCTCTTACCGAGTCCGACTGCTCGTCCGCTCGCAAGCGTGGAGATCTGGGATACTTTGGCAAGGGAGATATGCAGAGAGAGTTTGAAGAGGCTTCCTTTGCTCTTTCGCCTGGCCAGATGAGTGAAATTGTGGAGACGGCCAGCGGTCTGCACTTGATTGAGCGGTAAGTTTTCCTCCTCTGATTCCCAATTTTTGGAGTTTTGCTGATGATGTTTTCTAGTCTGGAATAATGCAAAAAAAGTATATAAATTGTAAATTGACGAAGCAGAGCGTGTGTTCCTCGCCCGACACTTTTCCTTGAGCCCCGTGACGCATACGTATAAAAGAACAATGGCATTGGGAATGAACAAGTTTCTTCTTTTTAATTACTCTGCCAAATCTAATTTTCTACAGTACCCATCCACAACTGGTTTGCCCGTTCTATCCGTCTCAAGTATAACTCTAAACAAACCAGCCATATTCAACGCGAGACATTGTCTATCCAAAATCTAAAGCCCCGTCTGTCTTTACCCGGCCAAAGACAAAACGACTCCCTTGAAGGGTTCTACCGTTGTGAGAACTACCGTCATGACTCCCGAGACTGTCATCGCGAGAGCAGCGTACGGGGCAGCGCGACTTTTTGTTTCGTAAAGATACGACACGCCCATGGCTGCGCCGTTGATGCCGACGGTTATACCGGCGGAGATGGTGAATGGGTCGTCGCCGCTTGCTAGGTCTTGCTGAGCTGTTTTGAGAAGGGGTCGGAAACTCAGACGTGAAGCTCGGCTTTCTGACTCTGGGAGGGAGCGGGTGGAATTGTCTTCTCGTTTGACGCCCAACTTGTCCAGCACGAAGGGGTAGCAGAGTTGACCGAGGATTCCGTTGCTGACTACCAGGGCAGCGTTGACACCGAGATTTCCACCCAGTGCTGCCATTGCAGGCTTGGCAAGTGCCAGTGTTGTACTTCGTGCGGCGAATGCTAACGCTTCAGGAGGATCAAGTCCGATGAAGCTTCCTGCCATGACTGATACAAAGACGTTGCCCGCTGCAGCGGCTGTCGCTATCAAGACTGTCAAGAACCCAGCTAAGCTGAACAGTTGACGCTGGCACTCGTATAATTTGAAGCCCCAGATCAGAATCCCGCACTCAAGGATCGAAAGCGCAGCGTCACCGGCGCCGAACCAAGGTGTTCGGTCATCCGAAAGGGGTGTGCCTGTCGCGACGGAAGTCCAAAGCACGTAAAGCGGAGTGCCGCTGCTAAAGTCCGTAAGCACTTCAGGCAGATTGTCAAAGCCATATGCACCAGCTTTGGCCCGGGTGTATGCCGTCATCAAAAGAGTCGTGAACAAGACAGGATTCATAAGCGTGACGATCGCGTTCTTGAGTTTGGGCATATCCGGGCATAAGCTGGATGTCTTGACTTCGCGTTGGAGGCGTAGCGTGAGTGCCCATATGAACCACAAGACGCACCCGTCGAGAATGCGGTCTTCGTTGGCAGCTGCAGCGATTGGTGCGCCGACGATAAATATGCCCATGAATGAGGCGAGTAGGGGGAAGTTGGATGTCCAGAAGTACCATATCGGGGATACGTCGATGGGGTCTTTGAGGGCGACTGATGACCTTTGGCTGACTGTTGTAGAGGGCGCAATGTCGTGTTCGGGGACAGTGTCTTCGGGTGCTGTTCTGTTCTGAACCTTCACGCGACGATCACCCATGGGTTGAGGAGTGTGTTCAAGGGATGAATCTGAGAGCCAGCTGATTTCGACCCGTGGTGGGATTGTCGTTTGAGGTTGAGGGAGACAGAAGTCGTCGGGATCTTCTCCTGTCCATCTTGCTGCGACGGTCATGACGAGCAGCGCCAGTGCAAAGACCATGACCCAAGACGCAAGATTAGTCACAACTGCAAGGAGTCAACACATGCTTCGGGCTCTTCTGGAAAGAGTACGCACCAAAGTTGCCGATTATACATGCAATGTCGCGGCCACCGAGGATGTCGCCTTCGTTAAGCATGACCAGAGGAATAGGAAATCCCAAACCCAAATGGACATTGATGAAGTCTACCTGCATACCAGTCAGTCCTGCAACCCCAACAGCCACTTCATCCATACCTTTGACTTGATATACCGTCGATACACATCATCAACACCAGCAAAGCACAAATAAGCCAAAGCCATACAACAAAAAGTCAAAACCATGCCAAAGATGGACGAAAAGAATTCAAGCTCGACAGGAGCCAAAGCCCTACTGAGACCCCAAATGATGAGCTCGCTCATGAGGTAGATGACGACAACCCAGCCAAACTCGAGGACATTGGTGGTGATGTAGGTGAGTCGCTTCTTCCAGAGTGATGGCGACATGTCTCGGGTGGATTGAAACAGTGAGGATGGTGATTTGAGACAGCGGGAGATGTTGGTTCTTGAGGTGGACATGGTGTTACTGAGCTGGAGGAGTGGTTTGGGGAGACGGAGAGGGAAAGAGGTCGTTATGGACACCCTTTCGCAACTGAACTTGCGAGAGGGTGAGGATGGTTAAAAAGGATTCGAGGATTGGGAGGGAGATTGGAGAGATTGTGGGAGTGACGGGACCGTTGCGGATAGCTTCTGGCAGCTGGCAGACGGCTGCACTGCAGTGAATGCCACATCCACTCCAACCTAATACTCCATTTACAGTGGTTTACGGCAGCTACTTAATTGATAGTGGAGAGCGAGTTTTCTATCTGTTGAATTGTAAAGGGAAATAAAATGTAGGGACCCGAGTATCTACAATCTAGATCGGACTCTTCACAGAAATTGTTTGCGTCTGACGGGAGCGGGAAATCCTCCCGTGTCGAGATTTGATAGCTCCCACCCGTCATTTCTTTTTCTAGACCGTCGGGCTGTATGTCTTTTCTAAGGGCTTGTTTGACATGAAACGTCATGAAAGACGGAAATAGTTTTTGTAAGTTGAGACACGACTTAATCCCCCGTGGGGTTGGGCTGAGACTAGAGAGATGTAATATGGTACGAGATGGGCGAGTACTTGGTGACGCCCTTCTGGGTTACTACATGAAAGATGTGAGACGGGAGGATGAGGGGTGTTTGAGGTGTGATATTGTGTTTGGTAGTTTTCTCTTTTGATGTCTCTAATCTCCGATGGCAATATAGTCTACCAGATACCAATATTGACGTCGGGTCGTGGAGATATCTTCAGCATCATGGCCACAGCAGAACATAACCAAGCCTCAACCCCTACATTAACCTCTTCTGCAAGGAGAAAATGCGCAACCGTTAGATACGATCTCATCTACTGCAATCTTCTCCAATGATCATAGTCCCAATTGACAATCAACGTCCAGAGTAACCTGCAAGATGCGCTGTAGATGTTACTCCAAGTGCTGTGACCCCGCTGTAAAGTACATGCCACTAAAAAAGTGCACCTAAATACAGGGGTCCTTCGTTTGACCGCCCAATGTCTCGGATCTTGGGCCGACGTCTTTAAACGGTTCTCTTTTTATTTGTTTTGTTTCCAATGTGAGGTTATCTCCAACATCCTTTTTTCATCATACAAACGTCGCGACACGACACACTGCAGATATTCTCAACAAATGATTGAGGATTACTCTGATTGCGGTCGGTCATTAGTCCAATCTGAGTTTTGGACCCCTGAGACTTGAGGCTTATCGTTACGCCGTCTCATCGTACCCAGCACTACCAATTATCCAGACAAAAGTGGTTGCTCTCAAGAAGTCTTGTTTGTAACATCAAAGACCGCTTACCTGGAAAATACAAACGAAACGAAACGTCTACTGTTCAACGTTACCTTGAAAAACGCCACTTCGCTATTCCACAGGCCCAAAATGGATTTCAACCCCAGGGATCGCGCAGAAGCCCTGCTGCTCAAGGCTGCCCGCGCGCACGGCATCCCCGCCACAAAACAAGACGTGCACAACGCCCTATCCGACACGGCCTTCCTGGAGTGGGCGAATCTGCATCTGGCGACAGACCATCTCCTCACGGGTGATGAGCTGGCACTGTGAGCCTGTAACCCGGTTGTCCTTGTTTGTAATACTGACGAAAGGATCTAGGTATACCGCGCTTGACAAGAGTGGTCAGGTCGATCGACTTGCAGAACTGCATGATTTGGGAGAGGTGCAGGCGGTGAATGAAGATGATATTCGTGCGGCTATTGAGGAGCTGAATAGATCTACGGGGGAGATTAATAAGCAGACGGAGACGTTGAAGCAGCAACAGGATGCTCTTGCGAGACTTGTCAAGAAACGAGATGAGGCTGAGCAGGCGAGGAGGGATTTGGAAGAGGAGCGTCTTAATAAGACGAAGCATGCGCTGAAGAAGCTGGTTTTCGAGGTAACACACACCCTTTTGTGAAGTGGAACGGTTCTAATTGTGTACAGGTTGACGGAGAGGCGCAGAGTCTTGAGTATCGTGTTGCCGATCTGGAGCAAATTGCCAAACAGTCTCGCGATAATGTGAAAAAGACGGTTGATGGTGTTTTTCAATCTGATGATAAGCTTCTGTCTAGTTTGCAGAAGTTGGGTTGGGAACTTGATCAACAGGATCCTGAGGAGGAGAAGTCGATTGAGAAGTTGCGGGAGACTTGCATGAGGTATGTTAGTCCCCTATCTTCCTTTGATGAGATTGATGTTGACTCTTGTAGATTGATCAAGACTACTGTCGAGACCCTTCGCACAAGATTGGACAGGATTTATCTTGAAGCTATCCTTGCAGCAGAGCGTTCAGGAGATGTCAAGGACGCTACTCAAGACGACGTCAAAGCTCTCGAAGAAGAACTCGAGTCACTTTACTCGGAGATTCTACCCGTTGCGCAAATGTCCACTGAGCAAGAATATCTCGAACCAGCACTCAAGTCAACAGATGCTCAAAGCGGACAAAGTCTGCACCGCTCAGCCGTGGCAGTAACATACGTATGTCGACCTTCACCATCTCACTTAGTATTTCTCACTAACACATCTAGGTCAACGAATGTCTCGATCATCTCGTAGACAAAATTACACTCCTTACAGACCGCGTCGAAACACTCAAGTCCCACAACGCAGCAGCATCATCAATCATCGCCACCGCAAAAGCAGAATCATCCGCATCTTTATCCCCAGAGAAGAAAAAGTCTCTTCGCGCTGCTATGCCTGCATCACCTATTCGCAATCCCTCTCCAATCCGCATGCGTGCAAACACAGACGTAAACCGTCGCAACAACAAAAACCGTCGTCGTTCGTCTGGCATCTTGGACGAGCCCGCCATAGAAGCTCTTCTACGCGATCTAACTTTGTCACTTCCCGACTCCGAAGATGCATCTATCCAAGACCAAGTATCCGCGCTGAACAAAGCGTTTAAAGATCGCTCGGGTAAAACGATGGATGTGACGAGGGGTGCGCAGGAGAGTTTTGAGGCTAGTGTCACGGCGAGACTTGATGATGCGCGGTTGGCGATTCAGTTGCTGAGGGATAGTGTGCTCGCGGAGAGTCCGTTTGGGGAGGTTTTGATGGTTGATCCTGAGTTTGAGGGGTCGGTTGTGCAGTTGGGACGGGATGTGGAGGGTGTCAAGGAGAGGTTGGATGGGGTTGTTGAGAAGAAGGCTTTGGCGAAGAGTGTGAAGAAGGATGAGTTTGTGCAGAGGTGGGCGTAGGGATAGTCACTTGAAAGGGGTGTGTTCATGTTCAAGGTATATATTTATCTACACATGCAACCAAGCATGATCAATAAACATAGGCTGCGAAAAAATACTATCCAAAGAATACTGTTCCAGCCCCTCGTATAAATCTCCCGCTTCAGCAAGTGCCTCACTCATACTCGGTCTCTCCGTTCTCCGTTCCGGAACAGGGTGAACGAACGTTGTCTGTACACTAACTGTTGTTTTAGATGCACCCTGATCTCCACTCGGTGCTACCGCGTCCATGATATCTGAGTCGATGAGTTGCCAGATTTTTGAGGGTTGGAAACTTATCATGTTGTTGTCGTGGGCTTGGCTGGACATTGTTTGCAGTTGATGAAGAAGTTCGCGCTGGTAGTGTTAGTACTCAGATGGATAGGACATGAACAGTTTGGGGTATACCTTTTGGATGTTTCTGGGAGAAGGATCGGGCATTGTTTCCAAAAAGTCAATGCACTTTCTATAATTCTCTTTCGATGTTTCTGATACTTTTGTATCACGCGCATACTGGAATAACCAAGGAATCGTAGCAGTCGCAGCAACCATATCCCCAATCAACGGATCATAAACCATTAATCCACGATCCATACACGTCTGAACCAACCGCGTGACCCACGCTGAATGGAACATGGCTTGATCAACAGTCTGTTGAAGAAACAACCTCGGCTGCGACGGTCGATTTGCGCGGCGTAGAGTAACGAGGTGAATAAAAGGATGATTCAACAGCGCCTGTGTCGCATGGGCTGTTATCTGGAATAATAACCAAGGCGCCCAATATTCTCTATGTCGTTCGAACTCCTCTGGTGTTCGTTCTGAGAAACCAACGTTGCGAACAAAATGTATATGTCCAAGTCTTGACTCGAGATCATATAACGTGTTGGTTAATTGGTAGAAATTGGAGTTTGTATCAGCTGGATTATCCGCTTTTCCAATATGTAGTGCATGGAGATATGAAATAACATCTCCGCAAAACGATACCGCGCGTACAGCATGGGAGGTAATTCCAGGATCAGTTCGTAAGTCGTCGCGGATGGATTCTAGGTCTGGTGCGTACTCTTCATCACCTAGATACGCAGGTGGTGAAGGTTCCCGTGCGCTGCGCGGATATTCTGGTTTGGCGTGTGTTTGCGACAGCAGCGTAAACCGCGGTGCGAAACCCTTTTCAAGAATAAAGACACTCCAGTAACAACGTAAACTAGCGTCACCTTGAGGATTACTCGCCGATTCAGAGTATCCTGCTCCGCGTACGAGTTCAAGTCTACTCGCAGCCCCAATCGTCATCAAAGCAAGCGCTGGCCGACCTTCTAGGATATCACCTAGCGCAAGAAGACACAGCGCCTGTGAAATTTCAAGCTGTGCTGTTCCGCGCATGGCGAGTTCCAAGACCGTGTCTCGCGCGGCACGGGCGTGAGAATGGATAAGGTCAGCTTCTTTGGCGCTGCTGGCGTCGTAGGGGAGGTTTGAGAGGGCTAGTGCGAGGAAGATCCATTGGAGAAACAGGGGGAATTTCTCGATGCGTTCGCGTAGACCTTCGGGGTTGAAGAGGGGGAGGGGTTGGAAGTAGAGACGGCGGCGGTATTCTTCTACTGCGTTGTCGAGGGATGTTGGTGATGGGGTTGATGAGGACCTGGTGGTGTTAGATGGCATTTTTTGGGTAAGAGAGGAGATGTACCATGGTTCGTCGTTGATGTTGATCCTGTTTATGCGTCTCGATGTGTTCTCAACCATGGATCCCGTCCTGTTTGGCATCGACTCAGGTGTCAAGACGGAGCCATTGCTAGATGAAGGAGCCGGTGGCCTATCCGCACGCAAGTCAGTCATGACCGTAACCAATTCTTGATGTCTCTTACCCAAGAAGCTCATCAATCTCCCCAACCTGATCTCCAAAGCTAACACGACCTCTCGACCCCACCGTTCTACTCCCCGTTAGTACACACCCTCCCTTCTCACAGAATGACTCACGCTCTAGAAGTCCTCCTCTTCCTCTTAACAGTCTCTCTATTCCTCGGCAAATAAACACAATCCTGCTGCAACCGTTCACAGAAAGAACAAATCGGCCTTTCACCAGTACATTTCGTCTTTTTGCGTCTGCGTCACTTTCTTAGCTTGTATACCCCAGATTTTGAGGAGACCCATCACTTACCGACAGCCTTCACAGGCCCGCCGAACGGATGATTCGGACATGATGGATCTACAGGGGATTGTAATTTCTATTACAATGTCAAACTGGGGAATCGTGTAAGTTGTTTGGTGAGGATGAGGGAGGTAAGATTACTCCGTGCCCACCTTCTTGGCTTGAGTATCCCGACACGTGACCTTGGAATTGGAGATGTGAGGGAATCGGGGTTTTGTTTACAAACCCTGTATTCTATGATTGCATGTTGAATGTTTTTATATTCGCTGCTGAGACTTTGTAGATACGTTTCTGATAACGTTTCATCCGTGGCTTTATCTGGGACGTTGGAGTGATAATTCTCCGTACCCATGTGTTGAAAGACCGTAAACAACCATTGGTCAATGCCTCGAACCACGGAGTTTTACAGCAGTTTTCCGTCTTGACAACTGACTTACACGCCATCGTTCCATTATAAAGCAAGCTCTTTTTCTTTATTTCTCTCTTACCTATATCCTCATCTTATCATTGTTCACTGAGTTACTTATTTCTTCACAATGACTTCTCGCAAACCAGTAGCCAAGAATGAGTCCATCGTCATCGTGGGCGCAGGCGTCTTCGGCCTCTCAACAGCCCTCGAACTCTCAAAGAGAGGCTACAAGAACATCACAGTCCTAGACCGCTATCTTCCTCCCGTAATAGACGGAAGTAGCGTCGACATCTCCCGCGTCATCCGCGTAGAATACGCAGATCCGTTCTACGGAAAGATGGCGCGCGAAGCACTCGATGGCTGGAACGGGCAGTACGCAGAGCACTTCCACCAGTCAGGTTTCGTCATGCTGTCTGAGAAAAGCGGAAATACTTTTGCTGAGCAGAGCAAAACTGCTAATAAAGAGTTGGGTGATGAAGTGTTGGAGGAGTATGAGGATGCGAGGGATATTAAGAGGCAGTTTCCTGCTGTGCAGGCTAAGTTGGACGGGTTGAAGGCTTATTATAATAAGACCGGTGGTTGGGCGGATGCTGAGGGGGGAATACGGCAGTTGGCTTTGGAGTGCAGTCTTGCTGGTGTTTCCTTCGTTACTGGCCCGAGAGGAAGGGTTGTGTCGTTGAGGTATAGTGGACGAAAGGTCACTGGTGTCAACGTTGCGGGGGGAGAGCCTATTGAAGCTGCGCAAGTCATCCTTTCTACAGGAGCGTGGTCAAACCATCTTCTACCCATCAGCCATGCCTCTTCAGGTTCTGGTCAACCAGTTGGCTTCGTCCGCTTAACACCTCAAGAAGCAGAGAAGCTCGCAGACATGCCCGTCATGATCAACTTGAGCACTGGAGTCTTCATCTTCCCACCCACACCAAAGACACATATCCTCAAGATTGCGCGACACGGGTATGGATGGGCGACTGAGTTTGACGTCAAAGATCCCTTGGGTGAATCCAGGACCGTTTCAGCGCCCAAGAGCGACGAGAACAACGCTACGGCGAATTATCTCCCCGAAGATGCGGAACGAGCTCTCCGTGAAGGTCTCCAACAACTTGTCCCCGAGATCGGCAATCACGAATGGTTGAGACAGCGACTATGCTGGTACTCTGATACACCCGAGGGAGATTTCATCGTGGACCATCATCCTGACCGCGAGGGCCTTTTCCTAGCGACGGGTGGTGCTGGACAGTAAGTTACCCGACCAAGTGAGGTGAAGATATACTGACGAATTTAGTGGTTACAAGTTTCTGCCTGTTCTGGGACGGTATATTGCCGATTGTTTTGAGGGAACGGCTTCTGCTGAGTTGAGACATAAATGGAGGCTGAGGGAATCTACTGGGAAGGATATGGTGAAGCAGGGTGATGGAAGTCGTGCTGGCCCTCCTTTGCGAAAGTTGGCGAAGTGGGAACAGGCTAAGCTGTGAGTGATAGATTGTATTACTATAGATACTAGACTAGAGCTAAATCATCTTGTTGAATAACCGGGAGTAAAAAGTACAGTTCTACGACTATCACAGTCAGATTGTATGATCAATCCGTTTGCTTATGCATGAGAAACCTACGATAGGCATTGGAACATGTCACGTCTACGTTTACGCATGGCCCCTACGGTGGTTTGTTGGTGCTGTATTATATGGGATATGGAAATATGTGTGACATGGAGTATCCCGTCGCTCTGGACTTTTACTCACCAACCTGCCATTCTTAGCCAAGAGGAGCACAAGTAAATGGACTCTTGACAGTTCCGTGGTCGTACTGATCCATCTGAGTAATGTTAGTCACTATTATGGTCTCACCTATGGTGGGGGACTTACAATATCGACGACCGAGGAGTAGGTTCCTGCGACCAAAAAGACAAGACCAAGCATAAAAATAATGATGTTGACGATCGCAATAGGGAGGTTTTTGCGGCTGTACCATTTTCCTTTCTTGAGGAGCATGAACCACATAGTCGCAGGCCAGTAAAGCGTGAATCCAGAATTCAGCAAACTGGACGTAATAGCAATCAAGTCGCTGAAGAAGGGAATAGCCTCAGCAATGACAAAGCCAACCCATGTAAAAATGCTGATCAACACCAACCAAGAGATCCATCCCTTGGGAGTATTGATATACTTGGCGATCGAATTCTCATGGACACGTCCATGGATGTACCGCACAGCAACGGTCGTGTTGATAGACCCGCTGATGAAAATAACAGGTAAAGCGACGCCGAAGGCTACCTTTGCGACGAGAGGTCCTGCGGATAACAGGGCAGGCGACTTTACGTCTACTCCAACGAAGGAGTAAATGAGAGCGCCTGTAAGGGTATAGATGAAGATTTCTAAACCGCCAAGCGTCCAGATGGCTTTCATGTAGTCGGTAGGCGTATGCATTTCGTCCATAAAACTGAACTGTGAAATAGAGAAACTGTACGCGAAGAAGATATTGCAAATCGCAATGAATGCCTGCGCGAAAGTGATGTCCTCCTTGGGCCAAGCTGACCAATTCGTTGGTTCGGGTGATTCTCCAGCTTTGATGCCTGTCGCGATGATGGTGATTCCGATAGCAGCAATAATGGACACAAAGTCAATGTAGCCGAGAATAGCAACCTCTGCAAAACTGGGCGGTATCGCGAGGATGAGAAGGAGCACGGCAGAGACGACGCCCCAGACAAGACTGCAGATGTTGCTCTCTGTGAGGGTCGAAAACGCAATTGTGCCTGTGAGACAATGCGAAGCAGTAAGCAGCAGAAGCTGAACCGTAACCATGCCTCCAAAGATCTCGGCACCCCATCGTCCAAACATGAGACCACCGGCCGCAGGATAATGCTCTACATGCGGATATTTGACCTTGACCTGGCCAACAATGTACGAAGTGTAAATAGCAATCAGGCCAATCCCCACTGAACAAATCACACCAGCAACCATGCCCAGCGTAGCAAAAGCGCCAGGGATGGAAAGGGATCCCAGGGCGACGGCTTGGACGATGAGCACGATTGTTAGGCGCTTCCAGCCTAAGCGGTTGAACTTTGCTTTTCCGTCGAGGATTTTGCGTTTTTCGAATTCGGTTACTTCGCCGATCATTTTTTCGCTGGTTGAGTCTGAGTCTTGGGGGGTGTTGTCGGAGAGGATGTTGTTGTCTGTTTGGGGAGTGTCCTTTTTCTTGTTGGCGGGCTCGGCCGCGGGAGTAATGTCGTTGTTCATGTTGGTGGTGTTTGTTTAGATTATCGGTAGATCTTTCATTGTCACACAGACGGTGTAATTGAGAATCCGAAGGTACTTGCGTTCCAGGTGAAGAGAAAGGTAGGTGAGTGAGTGAGTGAAGTGGGACACGACAAGTTTTGTATTAATGCTAGCTAAGGTAGGGCAACATGAATGACTCCCCTTTAGACCGACGTCGGACGTGGAGATTAAAACCTGTCATTGTAAAAGCTGGGAAGAGGCAAGAAAAGTCTGTCAGTCCATGTCATACGAAAGCGACCGGAACCAGGACCACTCCACGATCCATGGAGTCTAAAGTGGATATTCCCGTTGGTGTTTTCTAGAAAAAGCTTCTTTTTGAGGCTCTTGGTTGGTTCAGTCACTAAAAGATCCACCAACTAACGTCAGTAGCCTCAACAGCCAGTAAAATCTGAGTTTTTACAACATCTTTCTTGGTCTGTATTTTCACCTTTACTCGTAAAATATATAATATTTATTGGCATTTGGCTATGAGAATTGAGTTGAAGAACAGATGTCTTTGCTGGATGGAACAAGGTGATCGTCTTTTGTGGATTCTCTTACTCAAAAGTCGGTCCATTTTACCTAATTGCTCATAGCGGAGGGGCCGAGTCATAAGATGATATCCTCTTTTTCGCCCCTGAGACGCGGAGCCGATTGTGAGCTGAGCTGAAGGTCGTTGAATGCCGGGGAGGTCAGCAGAGTGCGGTTGTTCAGGGTCTAAAGTTTATATGGTCAATATCAGCCTTGCTTATATCAAGGGACATGCATTGCCTTGGTGTTCGATCTACACTGCAGTAACGGTTATGAACGGTACTGTCTTTGGAGACCCGTACAAGTGACAGGGCTTTGACACTAAAGAATTGATCGTCTATTGAGTGGTTGGCCGTTGGTCTAATGAGGCGCTATGGACTCGGTAACGCTTTTGCACGCCGTCTTCCGAAGAGCCGCATCTCACGATATAGCGACGCTCTATTGGTAATACGCACGAACGGACATGACCGATTTTACTCATGTTTTCCCCAAGTTTCTCCAGATTGATCTGCCAACTCAATTATGATCCCGCGATAAGCTTCTTTCGATTGCATGACCCGCTGTGTTCGCTTTCACAACAGTGAAGTGCTTAGATCCGGGGTTTGAGATTACGTTTGAGAATTTTTGAGTAAACAATCAGGATGGTGGGGGACACTAGATGAAGCTATCCTATCTGCCCACCATACGCATCGCGAGCCACCGTCGTCGCGACGTCAAAGACCCAGCTTTCACCAACGCCTCGCGATATATCCCATCGTATCGTCTACCTCTCTTACATATAACCAAATGTAGTAGAAAATATAGGATCCCATTTACTCTCCTATAGTTAAGCTACTAACTAGTAGATAAGTAGTTAAGTTAATAATAACTAATAAATCCCTACTACTATATATTTTTAGTATTTTAACTTATTTTATGTTACTATACTTAATAACTAAATTAGGATATAGCTTAGGCATTAAGCCTAAGAAATATAGAATAGTAAGGTAAGGTTAGCTAGGTAACTTCAGCCTTGTTTAGTAATCTACTTATATTCTATGTAATAGATGTAAAGCAAGTGGTAATGTCTTATATAGCAGATTAGGTTGTTAAACCAATTTCAATTTGTATCTAAATCAAGAAGATTTGATCCATTATAGAACCCCTTCACAAGACGTAACCTTGATGTGCTAAACCAGGGAATTTTATTAGCTCACGTCATCTTGAGCGTAGATAGTTTGCTTTATGCTTATAGGTGATGCTGATGGTCATAGAGTCTTATTTGGCGAGCGGCTGGAACGGAAAGAGGATAAGTTTCAGCCCATTTAGATTAGCTGTCATCAATTTGTCGCTCGAAGTCTTGATACCTTAATCTTCGCAAAGGACTCTGCATGACATACGATCATTGGCTGTTGATGGACGGTTTATGATATCTGAATAGTGAGGTATGGTAATTTTCTACATTGTATCTCAATCAACTTATGTACTTTAAGAATAGAGTTAGATTCAGGAAGGAAGACAGAACGTGATAATAAGTCGTCTACACATATGCTATCACTCCAGGACTATCTTCTGTCCCCTGAAACTATAAAGGTTAAAAGCTTGGCCATGCATCAAGCCATGAAAATACGCATGTCCAATTAACCGATAGTTTCCATTCCCTAAAGGACGAATTATAAAAGGCACCGAGCCACCATAAAACAAACAGACCTGATCTCCATTCCTTGCACCTGCTGGAACTAGACCAAAATATCCATTCTTGGTTATGCAGAACACTCTCCCAATGGCCATACGAAAACCCTCGTGCATAAAACGAATCCAATGTTCCGACCAGGTTTCGTCACGAGGATTTTCAGCGAAGCAATTGATCATATTCCGGAAAAGTTCTCGTTGTCTGCCAATGTCGTCACGTTGGTGAACATCTTTATCGTCAAAGAGTAAGGTACGAATAAAAAGATCTTCGATATGTTGGTCTCCCGGGTACTGCCTGACTTGGAATAAGAGCAAAGTGCCTTGTACTATGAACTTGTTGATTGCCTCCATTGGGGGTTCTCTGGCGTACTGAACTGATTGGGTTGTGCAAACGACGGAATCGAAGACCCCTCCGTTGACCACCAGAGTTGCGCCCTGTACAATGATATCTGACGGAACCAGTTGGGAGGCCGCATAGGTTGCGTCCGAGTTAGTGGCATAGATCATAGAAGGCTCACTCGTTCGCCTGTTCCAATTCTGTCAAGTAATCAGACATGCAATTAAGCATCTTAGAAGTATTGCAAAGACTTACAGGCACCCAACTGGGAAAGCCTTGGTATGTAGTCGTTTCGCTATCGATGTTATAAAGCAATTCTATTCCTTGGGCCAGTTCTATGAAACGTTTGGCAAACAAGAAGAATACTTCTGGAGTTGGTTCAGAGTAGGTAACGAGATGGGTGAAGTCTGCTGTATCAGAGGCCAAGGCGTACTGAGAGTAAAGCATGTCGCGGGGATCGGTCGCGTTCGCACCTCGAGAATAACTTAGAAGATCAATAAGACGTTGAAAGTTGCTGAACCTGCACGATGGCACAGAGTTGGGCGGAGTATGGAATAGGGTTCTACGCATCGATGCATACTGCATGAATTCAAGACCGCCCACATCGGTTCTCCAAGACGTGTCGTAGGTCTTCGGCAGCGGGAAAGAATAAAGTTGCTTCCCACGACTATATGTGTTCAAGAGCACATAACACCTATCCATGAGAACAGGGCATATTAAAGTATCGCCCAATGAAATGAAAACTAATGATGGCAAAACATATTCTTGCAGAATCCACACCCGCGAGAAGTAGGGTGATTGTGCAAATCTGCGTAAATTGTTCCAGATAGGGTCTTTAACAGAGGGGATTCCATAAGACTCGAGAGTACGGACATCATTCGGTCCAAGAATGACGTCCAGTTTTGTAGTCGAAACATCCGGCTGATGCGGAGTAGGGCACTTGCGGATATCCGACATGCACTTGTCGCCTGCCCTATTGATCTTGTGTATAAGTTCAAGGAACTCAGTGGCGTTCTCCTTGGGATCATAACCCAGTTCAACATGAACAGAGCGAGCTTGGGTGTATATTCTCGCCATCAGCTTGACTTGAGCTTCCCGTTCAAGAATATCGGATTGATTGATAGAAATAGCGTCGATCCAAAAATAACGTTCTGCTGGTGGGTTTGGATATCCCACGCGGGGTATTCTGTGTTCAAAGCAGACTGGGTCGAGTGTTGCCAAGTCTATTGCTGGCCTTGACAAAGACTTCAGTGCAATGAGCAGGCTATGTCCTACTAAGAACGGTTGGTCATCCAAATAAATCTCATATAGACGACTCTGGTCGCCCCATACATAAGAGAGGGCCACATATTTCTGAAAATGGCAATTAGGCGACGTCTCCGCATGTGTAGACTTAGATACTGGATTTTCGTCTATGGGTGATATCTTTGGATCGCCGTTTAGATCGATCACAGTAAGATGACAACGAAATTCAGCTTCGTCTGAGGATGCTATCCTGATAAGGCGGATTTCTGTAGGTGTTTTAAGAGGTGGATACCGAAAGTTTGCGTTTTTAGCCATGTTGAATTACTGATAACTTAATAGCGAGTATTTGGCCAGAAATTTCTAGTCAGGACAGTCAGGTTTATGACGCTCTTAAATAGGTCAATAGGCAGCAAGGCATTCTAGCTGCTTTAACTGCTGATTCTGCCTTGCCCTTAAGCACTTTAGTTTCCTTGAATAGTTATCTTTAGTATATAAAAAGTTAATATTATAATAACTTAATAACGCTTATTGAGTTTATATGTAAATTTAATTCCTTTTGCAAGCAAGGAGTAACCTTTACACTAGTAGCCCAATAACCTATATGCGATTGATACCATTCGCGCGGGACATGAGTCTTTGCAGGTTTTTGGATCTGAAGCCGCACAATATCGGAATCGTAGACAATGACTTGACAAAACAGCTAATGGACAAAGGTGTCTTGAAGCCTACTTTCCACCGAATGGATAACCCATCATTATTATGCATCCCTATCGCCGGGTACCTTCCGTTGCTCCAAGCTTGTGCCCTGTTCCGTACTTGAAATTTGCTGGTTCAGTATTCTGGCGGTTGGTGGTGGGCGGACGAGTAGTCAGCATTTGCGCTAGGTCCTTGACTGACGATTCTCCCCAAGCCCCGATGATCTGCCATGAATCGTTTCCTGCTTGAACGGTTTCTGCGTCGTACAAATGATCTTTCGTTGATATAAGTAGTTGCACGCCAGAATCGCCAATCTTTACATCATTAAGCTTATGAGTGGGCCGGTTGACGCTTTGAGTCTCGTCTTCAACATCGAAATTTGCGCTCTGTTCCATGATAAAATTGAGGGAATGACAAACAGCTGATGGATGTTGTTGAGCGCAGGTGAATTTGATGCTTTGTAGGTCAGAAATTTGTATTTACAAGACTTTTGGGTTAGGTCCAGGTTTGGGCTCTACCTGCTCTTATTCTTTTTTAGCCGCCCATGCACCGGCCAGCGGCGTTTAGCTGGCAGCTAAAACGTTCCTAGCACTCCATCGTAACACCCTACTTCACTAACGCTTTTTGTATTTGACTACCTTTCCAACATTCTCGACCCTTATCAACAGCTCGAGTAATGATCGAACAACGAATGGCTTAGCGCACGCAAGCGCCTGCGCTTCGTCTGACAAGAAAATTCAGGCTCCACATGAATGCATGTCTGGATGAACGACCTTTCTCAGCCCCAAAATCCGACCCTCCTATCACGTCCCTGGAGCCCGACGCATTCCACCTTACGGATACAGCCTCCCATTTCCGCCTTCCCCACCAGCGTGCATCGTCCTGTGAGATCGTCGATGCGTTCAACAGAGCGGCTAATCTTGCAACGTAACAACCATTGACTGGAGTGATAATCACTCATTGTGGCTCGCTTAACAAAAAGCCAACGTGGTTCACATTGTAAACATAGCGCAAGAGGACAAAAGGGTCCCCAAACGCGAAAGCAAAACGTAGCCAAGGTGTTGGGCCTAATCGGGGTCAGAACATTGCTGTTCTATCCAAGACTAAGTGGTTCTAAAGTGCTAGAGCCAACAGTTCTCGCTTCTTGTGTCCTAACCTGGAGCCAGCAGCGTTGCCTTTTTAGTACAACCTCGTAGCTGTTGGCTTCAGAAGCAATTCGTATTATCTAAACAAGTTCAGGATGGCTTCTCTGACCAAACTTGGCAATTTTCAGCAACCACGTGGATCGCGAAGGAGACAGCAAGCCAGCAAGCTCAAGAAAATGCCAGGGCACGTCAGGATGAGATGGTAATTGACAGAAGGGAGCGCCTGAAAAACATTGCCGTTCTTCATACCCCGTGCCGATCCTCTCGTCGATTACGAAAACGGTCAAAACGCCCTGCCCATCCGCTTGACTTGGCTCGTTCCTTCTGTCTTGCCCGATCGAGGCAACCCCGTCCTTCCACCTCGTCAATGATCTCTTGCAGTGAAGCACTTTCCAGGGGCGATATGTTCTGACCGCCGACACGAATCACTGATGCACAACTTTCTGACCCTGCAACATGTATCGTGGTCAGCGCGCCGAAAATGACACTCGTCTCTCGTGCGACCGATGTTGGAATAACGTATCATTTTGGAGTACTCCCTCGCTGGAAAGGTTGACATGACGATAAAAAGTTCAATGGTCAAGGAGTAAATCGTTATATGTGTAGTATTGTGATAGCCTGTCGCTGGACGGGCGGGTGATGTAGAGTTAGAGTTGCGGACGATATATCTACAAGATTAACTCCGGCTGACACCTGTAGAACTGATCTCCAGCTCCTGGTGTAATCTGGACCCTAGGTTCCGTGGCTAATCATAGATCACCCAAGGGCACAACAAAACTTGACATACTTGATATCTCGCCATCATGGATGCAGTAATCACACTATTCGTTGACTCTTAATTCAAAAAGAAATATTTTAATGCAGTTCTCCTGAGTACATTCGAATCTGTCAGTTCTACGACCCAAGAGCACGTTTTGGTTTTAACAGCTAAACTTGGATGCTCGTCCACTGCAGAAATCCCACCAACTTAGCCATGGCGTCTGATGGGCGCTTCCATCTGCGTGTGCTTTGAGTCCGCTCCTGCTTGGTTCATCCCAGCCCCGTCAATCGAGCTCACAGCGGGGTTCTTGGCTTGGTGTCCAGCCTTCCCGGAGTATTAGAGAACACCAGACATCAGTGGACAGGGGGCATGATGGAGTCCTGGAGCGATAACCGCCGATCTCTGCCCAAGCGCTAACACGAGCCAATCAATCACTACTGTCGCATGGGGTGAGGATGAGGTATTTCACCTCGATGCTCCCTCGCAATTGACCGTGAAACCTGAATCTCAAATTGTGCCGAGAACCCTGTTGAACTTCAATCTTCGCTCCGATCAAAAGTTGGCTTGCTACGGATGTTACAATGGACCCAGCAAGCATCACCGGCATTGGACTAGCGATTGTTCCCCTTACGATCCAGTCGATCAAATCACTTAAAAGCACAGTCACTCATTACAAAGGCCGCGATAAGACCCTGGCTAGACTATACCATGTGCTTGAGGATCTAAATAACATTCTAGAAGCACTAGAACGAGCTGTTGCCTCGGAAGCATCGGCGCGAGCTCTTCTGGAAGGCCCTGTTAACCGATGCAATCTCTTATGTCGCGAATTCGAAACGGCCATGCAAGCATTTGGCGGGACGTCTAAGATGGGCTTTAGAGATTGGACTAAGATGGAGTTTATGAAGGGTGATATCAATGAGTTCATGGATAGATTGGCAGGATATAAAGCGACGATTTCGGTAGGCCTAGGTACTATCACCATGTTAGTTCCTACAGGCCGGTCAGCTTGAATCATAAGTGCTAACTTCGGTTGCTGCCATAGGCAAACATCTAAACTCTCTCACAAAGTGCTTGAAGAGTACAACGAAATGATTCAAGATACAGTTTACAGCCTCAACATCAATCTACAACGACTTGATGGGAAAATGGACCTCATTATTCAAGGAAGCAGAAGCGCCAGCGTTTCAAATAAAAGCGTTAACCTAGAGGATGAGAGGGTAGTAACGGAGCAATGCCTCCAAATTTGTCAAGATGCTAGCTCTTACATTGGGTCTTTGGCAGATCAAGAAGAATTCCTGAAGGATCAATTCGTCTCAGCACCTTTTGCTGGCAGGCAGGAGCTATTCGAGGCACAATTGCTTACGCGAAGAGCCTTGAATGAGAGCAGAGACAGCATTGCCCAGACCGTCGGCCGGCTTCAGGAACGCTTGGAGTCCATGACTACAAATGACACATCCAAGAGTGACCTTGGATATCAACAATTACAGGGTGATTTACGGACATCGAAGCAATGTCTGGAGCTGTGCAAAAAAGCATCCGAGCAGGTTGCGAATCAAAAGGTCTATACCGTCGGAGAGATGGTTGCTGACAGTGACAGTGATCAGGTGGTGATCACAACTCTTGCAGACCTTTTTGATGTAAAGAAAGCATCGTCAACAAATGGGTCAGCGCAGTGGATAGGATCCTTGTCCGAAGAAACGGCGCAACAGATTTCTAAAGATCGATACGGTAGTCGCTTTGGTGCTGTGGTCACGAGTGGAACAAGCAATATCGTTAGCACCATGCCTTTAACAACCAACACCCGCGAAGTCAATAGCACTCTAGCGGCACGGCCTGGAAAAGCAGGGCAGTCAACGGCGCGAGAGGCAGTACAGAGACGGCCTTCTCCCAACGAGATGAGAAAACGGGCAGCGGAAAACGGCGATGAGAAGGAGGAACGCTGATACAGTAACAATTTGAATCTAGGGCCATCTTTTCAACATCTGACAACCCCCAGGACTACATTTCCATTCGCCCCTTAGAGTTCATCCCCCACTGCTATGCCGAGCTTCACTACGTTACGCGTGACCCAATATCTAAGGCATTGCAACTTTACCAGTACTTCCACCGTCATTGAAAGCGCCTGTGATATCGACACCAATTTGACCAGGCTTAAAGGAGATGCTGGTCAGAGCGCCTTCACTTGCCTGCCATGCTGATGGAATCCTTATTATCTTCTCAGATCTCCATCATCCTTCCAGCCTCGTCGTGCCCTTTCTGCGATGATCATACAGTCCTCAATGTACGTCTCGGGTATCGCAAGGCTTCTGGATCGAACTAGTTGGGAAGGCCAAGACAATTGTGAATGAGAGTCCCTTAGCCGGTTGTCGTGTCTAGTCTGCAGATCAAAGTCCGCAAGACTTTGCGATCTGTAGATCACTACAACGCCATACTTGCGGCCACCCATGGTGATTGCTATAGATTTCCGTTTGAGGTCAACTCGAGTGTTGCTTGAAATGGTCGTGATGTCAAAGTTTAGCTCAGATGCTTCAAGCCGCTCGGTCGGGTCGGGGCATTGGCCCTTGACTTCAAAGACGAAGACTGCGTCATGTCGGGTTAACTGTGCGGCTTCTGAATCACTTGGGCCTCGTGGAACAAGATCCAAACACCCATTAATGCATTCAGAGACAACTGTTCGGGCATCTCCCACTGTCCCGATTGCCCTGTAGCAAGTGACACGCAAAGCAGAGATGTCAGGTCGAGGAACCATGTTTTAGTAGGATCAAGGAAGATAGGGGAATGATAACAAAGTTTATTGATCAATACACAGATATAAGCTTGCAAGTCCATGTCTTATATCTTCACCGTTAAGCTGGATCCTTGGTTTTGAAGCGTCAAAGACAAGCTGACTTGTTCCACTTCTATCGTCTAACCCCATCGCACTGTTGGTTCATATGATGGACCAACAACTACCATATTAACCTTTCTCGTACAAGGCCGAGTTCTCGTCACATCAGAGTGTACCTGACACTCTTAATGAAGCTAAAGCTAGAAATTAGCCGCAGAACAACCACCCGGGAGCCTTGATGCTCACTTCCTGGAACTAAGCTCTTTGGCGTGTCGCCGTCAGCCCGAAGTGATTCAAATGCTGGGGAAAAAACAAAAGTCAGAGAATACATGCACTCTTGATCAAGGGCAGGAGCCTTGATATCTGATGGCTTTAAGATACCCTTTATGGCTTACACCGACCGAGTTCGACTTTGCAACATGATAGTTTGGAACCAAACAAAGCCTCTACTATCGATCAGTGATTAGGTGCAGTAAGCGACACGGTCAAACGGCTGCACGTGGTTGCAAGAGCCCTGTCATAACTTAGTTTATCTCACCACCTTCTCGATCGAGGTGCCAGGCAGATCTGCACCACCACTACGATTCAATGGATTTTGACCTTCTCGTTTCAGCTGCGGATGAAGCGCAGTCAATAACGTCCAACTTTTAGCCCGCCTGTCAAACACCGGGGCGTAACGTACTGTGGCGTCAGGGTTAGTATACCAGTCCAAACAGGGGCTAGGTTTGAGAGGTATAATCATTAATTCACACCACTGCACACTTAGAAGACATAACCCGACTCTCAGCATAACGAGAGGACCGACAATTACGGAGCCAACCTCTGACAACTACATGCCTAACAACCGGATAGCCGAGTTTAACGCTTCGATGCCTTACTACAAAGCCGAGATACAAGATCGACGGTGATGAAGACGGTGCGGTGAACCATCGGATTCTCTCGAAGTGATAGCTGAAATGGCACTTTGTGGCGCCCGGCGATGAGCTTGGAAAAACGTCTTGATAGGCCATTCCCCGAACCGAGCAGCACACTTGCAGAGGCCCGAGGAAGCCAAACTCATTGGGGTTAGGCTCTCACTGCCTAAAACTAATGATCTTGGCGCGACTGCGCGATACGTCTTATAGATAGCTTTTACAAGAGCACCGAGCGTCAAGAGCTGGGGTTCTGGGGATGGATGGGAACCTGCGACATTCCCAACTGCTTCCGACGCTCCAACCGTTTAATTCTGAGATCGTTTCCGGAGTCACAGCCTTGGAATACTCATCGCGGGGGCGGAATTTGATGGGAAGTTGACAAGTCCACCCAGACCAACAGCTAATGCCGACCGAAATGGAAAGAAATTGCTTGCGCGAGGAAGCGCAAGGGGAACGGTTCCGGGCTGCTGGGTATGATGGGCATTGCGATGAAGATTGTTTCTCTTTGAAATGCCAGGACCTCAAAAGGCAGCCATACGTGTTCAGGAAAAATTCTTTTTGGACGAAGCTACTGCTAGTCAGATATTGTAACCCTACGGCCGAAGCAAAAGCCCATGGCATGATTTGATCCAAGATACACACTTCGTTATACCCACTTTTGACATATAGCCCTATCGCAACGCCGGCAAAGACAGCGTTACCAGTGGGTCCAGCGAACAAAAGTCTCCAGGGATGGCTTCGTGCTGGTAACAAAGGCTGACAATCGAAAAGCCATGCATGACGACACGTCACGTTAAGAGTCTCGTTAAGATATTATGCTTCTTGTATACCATAACTTTGAGAAGCGTATGAGCACAATCGACAAGTCTCCATGAAATTCTATCCCTCATTTCCGAGGGCAAGAGATGTAGATATCGTGATTCCACTTCTTTTGTTCGTTGGCTGGCGTTCCTTGCATTTTTCAGCCTTAAGCATGGGGTTGAACCCACACCAGATGCAAAAGTGATGTTGGCTGATCACATCATTCCATTTAATTCCGGAGCGCGAAACTTTATTTCTTCTTCTGAACCCATGTCTAGTGCATGATCGGACATGCTCCCACTATGGAGTTTAATGCTTGACAGCAAATACAATACTTGACTGCTACCCTTGTGGTGTTGGCTCTTATGGCGCGTTAACTCAAAAGCCTTTGGCCACACGAACAATCACATTTGCCTCGGCACGCTACTTGTCTGTAGTGAGCAAGAACATCGGCCGAATTTGTATCGAATAACGGCTTTGTGTGCCGCTCATTCAGGCCATTGTCATTATCATTCACTCGCGAGCTTGTGAAGAAGTTGGGTACGGGGACTTTCAAGGTCTTCCGGGGTGTATAGAGAGCCGAAATCAATACCAAGCCGTTCTAATAAAGGAGCAGAGACGGGGACTACCACACAGCCAGTGCTTTTAAAGCAACCGACCAATTAATACTATAGACACAAGCTTGTCACCTCCTTATCGTTCGATTATTGCATCACAATTTGTTTTTACGATCTAGTCGTCTGGGATTGCGGCTACTGGAAATGGGGCAGGTTTCGAGACCAGTGTTACAAAGAGGATTGCACTGGTTAAACCTGTGGAATAAGGCTTGTGTTTGAACAATAAAGCCAACAGACGCATTTCAATATACACGACCAAATCACTAGGAAATCCAACACCGTCGAAAGAATAGCCAAAAGAATCCTATAACTTCAGGAATAGAAATTTCGCGCCAGTGTTACAAGATGGGGAAAAGAATGAGTAAAAATTGCAGTCCAGGTACGGAGGCTCGACAAGCAACATTCTCGACATGTGTGCAGTAAAGCCAACGTTGCATCTTCACTACGCAAATACTTTCAAGTCATAGTTTAGCCTTGGCCACTCAGCTATCAGCTACCACACACTGACTTCATTGACACCGCTTAGGAAGATCACCGATTGCCCCAGGCTTTTCAGGTCCCAAGACAATCCCAGGTGAGACAAGAGGCAAAGCCGCATTGATCTCATTCCAGTAACGCTGGAAACTGGGGGCTACGGTGTTGCGTTCACCTAACCCTCGCGGTTCATGTTTGGACACAAGGTCCGAGAACTGTTAGCTCTAGCACTGCCAAGACCATTTAGTCTTGGATAGGGCCAACAGCGACTCTAGAACCTTGCTCACGGTGAACTTTTTAATCATATTTCCTCTTGGGTCTGGCAATCTCTCGTTTTCTAGCGCAATGCGCATAACGAAAATCACGTTAGCTTTCTGTCATGCGGATCAGCATAGGTAGCTGTCGCCTTGACACTCGTACCACTTCGCTAAATCTGTCACAGATCTCCAGAAGCAAGACATGTGGTGGAGAAGGCGGAAATGGGGGGCTGTGGAAGACAGATACATGGGGACTCTGGGGAATATAATGAAGCAATCGGCTTCTGCTGACGATACATCAGCTATCAAGACACGCATAGGGTATCTAGATTCGTTAGAAACAAAGGCTCAATTACAAACGCAGCGCTCGCGGGGGATCAACTACTGCTGAAGAATTACAATCTAACCACGATCAACGAGAAGCTGACGCCAAACGCCTGCCGCAACACGCAGGAGCCGTGTTCAATGGATAGTTAATCACAAGATCACTTAAACGAAGTCTATTGACTGGTGTGTTGAGTGAGGGTACATGCTGACCCCCATAGAGGTACGCCTTCCGCCCACTTCTGGATCCTGTCTTGCTGAACGCTTGCAGTTTGATCATCCACTTCGCTCTCGCCTTCGTTGCCTTTGGAGGGGTCCGATTTATGCAGCACATCGCCTTCCTGCCGGGTAGACTGTTGACCACTGTCTTCAACCCCAAAAACGTGTTGAAAAGTTTGCCAGGCACTTGGGTTATCCGGATGGGTTATGGTGGTCGATTCATCCTTCGTGTTATCATTCGATGTTGGACTGAGCGATGAGGCATGAAGGGTGTCAGATTACTGGTGGCCACAGAAAGTATTATTAGAAGAAAGCTTACCAGCGTCCAGGGAATCACAGTTTCGGCTCATACTGCAAAAAGAAAAAGAAGAGAAGAAGAGAGAAGTGAACATGAAGCTGATCTGCTCAAAGGCTTCCAGGAACGAGAGTCTAGGTATTGAGGGTCCCTTTTGTACCATTCAGCCCAGCAAATCCTACAACCCCCCGCCCCACCAGAGCCTCATTCACAAGAAAGCTATACAGCCATACACCGACCTTCTTTCGGGGCGTCGGGGCGTGAGCTCGCACACTTATGCAAGAACACTGAAACTTGACACCTCTTCGTCTTGCCGCTAACCACTAACAGAGTATCCTAGCTACGCAGCACATGTACGTTCACCCAACCATGCAACTCATGCAGCCTGCAAGATCTTTGCAGCTGAGTTACCATACTTGCAATTGTTGTGCTCCTGCTGGTTTGTGGGCTCACTTGTTGAGATACCTACGTATTTAAGCCTGGTCAGTGTGGACGACAGGGCGACTTCAAAGTCAAGAGATGGTGATGCTAGTGTCAATAACGACTTCAGGGCTAGAGGTAGCCGAGGGTTATCCGTTGAAGTTATGGCGGAGTTGCCAAGGTATAAACTCGGGCTGTCAGTTGTGTCGATATCGTTCATCGAACGTCCCTAAATGTCATCCCTGCGAGGATCTCAGAGATCTGTGAGGTGGTTAGTTCACGATTGGCCCTCTCATGACTCCGACTCCTCTTACGATTCAATATCCAAAAGGCTTGTAAGCTTTAGCGTGTCAAGTGGGCATGCCGAGCTGCGGGTAAACTAGTATTTGACAGTTTTCCCTTCTAAGAGCCAATAATGCGTCCATAGGTCCGGCCTCCATCTCTAAAGTGTTTCTGTTATGGTTCGGCTGCGCTGGAACAGATAATAAACTTATCAGCTACCATGGGTTACCAAGATACCCGGTACAGCGCGCAACTTGACAAGGGTAATCTACTCATATGATGATGCCTTATATCGATGTTATGTGGTCCACCCTTTGGGCGAGAGTCAAGATCCGGGTGGGAACTGCTGCTGTAGTTAGCCTGTAAGGTATAGATAGATGTTACATTAACGTGTCTGGCTACACACGTGATCGTGACTGGTGGGCAACGCCAACTTCAGAGGTATCGTACTGTCTTCTCCACTAACAAGCCTGGCCCATCGAGCTTATACTTTGCGATAAGCATTGCAGAAATAGCCATACTGCAGTATTAGCTATGCTAGAGGTAAAAACTGTTTCTTGTGGCTTCAAGCCTTTTCTCATTCTGTTCTTTTCAATATCGTAGACAAATGATTGTGGGTAGCTGCTATGTATGTATTATTATGCCACTAAACAACATGAAGGGACCACACTGAACATTCTGGGAAAGGAAACATGTATTAAAAACCAGAAAGCACACCGCCACCAGCCGCGCTGGCTTATATAGCCTCATGTGCTCATATATAGTAGCATTGAACTACTTTAATGGCCCTTCTCGGTACCGATACCGGTCGAGAAACCCTTGGATAAAAAGACTGCCGAATCTCGCCTCTTCTTCTGTGTAGAACTGTGTGCACTGTTCTGCCTTGCGTTCTTTCTCGCATTCCTACGAGACATCTCTTCCTCCGCATCCTTGATTTGCGACCGTGTGATCACGTACCCTCGGTGGACCATTTCTGGAACTTGGTTACCGACATCATCCTCCTGTTGGGAAGATGGGACAGAAAATGCTGGCCAGACAACCTGTATGATGTCGTCCGTTTCCATCGACTGAGATTCAGCCGTGGGCGATTGCCCTTCCCGATCCGATTTCTCTGTCCGCGTTACCAAGGGTTTCCCAGCACCGCAGGAGGACTCAGTCTTGCCGTTGCGTTGGGCTGTCAATGACGGAAATGCCACCCAATCCTCAAACATATGCGAGGAGAAAACCGGACGAACTGGTTCCAGTAACTGCTGAACGACTGACCAGGCGTTGCATGCCTCCGCTGAAACCTGACGCAGACGTGCCTCAAACGCTTGTCGCTGCGAAATGGGGACCAGGTCGGCGAGTGCGTCTGATACCTGGTCAACGACCATCTTGACGCGAACTTCTCTAGTTCGAGCCTGTCTCGTTGGCTGTATCTTTAATAGAACTGCACGTGCGAAAGCCTCATGCAGCGGGTCTTCTGTCTCCAAGTCCCGTAGAACATCATCAAGGTCATTGTTCTGGGTAAGGTAAGTTGATCTAAAGACATTGTCAGCCAAGGCTATGCTGTATATCCGAAGGCCGGCAGCAACTCTCATTTGCTTGGCGGCCGGTGAGTTAGAAGCAGGTAGTGGGATAGTACGCTGGATCGAGGCGTGATTCCGAACCCTTCCCCATATTGTCGTGTCGGTCAAGCATGTGTCGTCTAGAGCAACGCCTATAAACGATTCCACAAAGCCGAGACAATTGTTGAGTATACTGTCCAAGGCATCTCCACTACTCAAGTATATTAGCGATTGATCAAAATAGCACTCCAGTTCTAACGAACATTTCAGCTCTCCTGGCCTCAAACTTATCAAGTTTGACCATGATGGAATGAAACGTCATCAACCTTCCGTGCGCTTCCTCTAAGTCTCTAGCCAGGTCATTTATGCGTGATTGCATAGACTTTTCCGCGCTTCTCAGTGTTGCCAGCTCCTTTTCGGCCTTCGTCGCCTTTTCCTGCTGTGACGCTTTGAAGTCCTCGAGAGAGCTAATCGTGGACTCTTTTTTCTTGATCTCGTTCATCAACTGTTTAGCAGCTAACGACTGGCCTTCGAGCTTGTCTTGAAGTGTCGCCAGTTGACCTTTGTGCTTCTTAATATTGTCCTCAGCCGCTTGCTTGGCTTTGAGGGTCGCCTCATTCTGTGCTCTCTGGGAACTCAGTTGCTTTTCGAAATCGTCATTTTGTCTTTTAGTCTCAGCCTGATGCCGGGACAGTGCTTGAATGTTCGTATCGTATGCGGTTTGGAGCTTCGCAGTGTCTCGCTTGAGTTCTTCATTCTCCCCAACAACTCCCTTCAGGGTATCGAAACTACCATCAGAACAGTACTGGTTCAGCAGAGATACCAATTGGTGAATGGCCTCCGACGCATCTGGACAAGCTGGTAACTCCTTGGCGCGCTTTTCACCATTTAGTGACATTGTTGGTTGGGACTGTGTCTATAGAACGCAGTTGTAACCTTTATGTCGGGCATGAGTATATTGGAATGGGAGAGGTATAGGATGAGGCGGCAAAGACGGGGGAAGCGACGACAGCCTGATGTATTTAGCCCGTGACCTTTGGTCAGCCTACATGACCAAATGTGGTTATCTGGTAGGCCTCCCATCACATCACAGATACGTGCATACATGAAGGCCTGTTGGTTGGGTCGACCACAGCCTGGTCGACAGCAAAGCTGCGGGGTCGTGGCAGATTGCCACAAGATAAGAGGAGTCGTCAAGAAGTCATAAAACGGTGGCATAGATCGTGTACGCAGATCTGTTGTTCATACTTGAGTACCAAAATCTCCAGTGATACTGAGGTTGTAGAAGTTTGAGGTATCGCGGGTCTTACAAACATCTCTCTTGCCTTTGTTAGTCAGACAGCGCGCCCAAAGGCCAAGACATGTATGTGTACAATCAGCTCAGTAGTCCTAGAGTGCTGAATGGAATAGGAGACCTGCAGAATTATATAGGAACTTTCTTGTGATACGGCAGCTTGCGGACGGGTCAAGATCCAGAACCAATTCCTGAAGCTTAGACTTGCGTTCGATCATCAACATTATATACCATTTTACCGCCTCTTTCTTTCACATACGACCAAAGGT